GTATACGCTCACAGAGCTGGTCTACGGCAACATTGGACGGGGCGCAGACGAGAACTTGGCTGCCGCTCATCTTTGCAAGGTGATAGATGATGGTGGCAGAGGTGACAGTCTTTCCGGTTCCAGGGGGTCCTTGAATGAGACTGAGAGGCTTCTGCAGAACGGCTCTGATTGCATCCACCTGGCCCTGGTTCAGGTCAGGAAGCCCGGGAGCAGACCACTTCTTAGGCAGCGTGACTTTCATGGGTGGCGGCTGGCAGATATGGCCGAGCAGGATGTGGAAGATGTATCCCGAAACACTCATGTCGTCAACGGCGAACGTCTTCATGGCGAGTTGCATGCGATCGTACGAGGTAGCCTTCCAAACGTAATCGGCCGAGAAGTTGTGAGAGAGGTCGATAGGGACCAGCTTATCGTTGCCAGTCTTGCGAAGTTCGAGGCAAACTTCGTCAGATTGGCTGTTTGGGATCTTGATGACGTATCCAACTCCCTCCCATTCCTCTCTGAGCTCGCCAGTGTAGCGCAGTCGCATCTCGTCGCCGACTGCGAGTTTGACATCACCCGACTCGATTTTCTGTAGGTTAAAGCTAGCAATGTGTTTGTTATTGAGAGCATAATCCCAGCGAACGGTCAAGCCATCTTCCGACTGTGCTTCCTTGAGCTTCTTATCGTAGTCAGATTCCATTTTAACAAGAGGACCAAAGATATTTTGATAGTGGTAGGGGTCATCATAGGTCAGCTGAACGGGGAGAGGATCGTCGTCGATGTTGGAGGCCTTCTCCAAATCTTGAATTGTCGCATCCGGCTCCTGCTTCCACATTTCTTCGAGCTTGGCAATCGTGTTCATCGTCAGGTGGCGGGCACGCAACTGTTCAGCATCAGATGGAGGGTTCACTAGCCAGGGCAAAAATGCCCGTTCCTCGATGAGGGGCTCCCATCGCGATGTATCCCAGTTCATGTCCTTGTTAGAGTTGGCGGCAGCGCAGGGTTGGCGGCATAGCAAGACGACCACGGCGTCGGATTTCGCGGGGATGAATCCAAGAATAAAGGCATTTTTTGTTCCACAGCTATAGCACTCCAGCACAGTATCTCCGAGTGTCGATTCGGGGTGCAGTTGCACTTCCTTGTGTCGTGCGCGAACCAGATGATTGACGATGTGGGTCGAGGAACCACTGCCGCGAGCACTGCAGAACCATTTGTTGCACGTAAGACACTTCACGACGCAAGCCGGAGAGTGAATACCACAGTATCTTTCCACATCATGTTAGCCTATATCAACCACGAACCGCATGGGATTGCTCACGCGCATGCATGAGGTGGAAGTTCCTTCTCCTCCTCGGGGTGCTTCAATTTCATGCCCATCATTTGGTCAATGGGAACGCTATTGAGGCTGTCATTATCGTCCTCCTCAAATGCTTCCGTCTGGTTGTCATCGTCGTCGGCTCGGCGCCGGCCACTCTGGCCGCCATATTTGCCGTAAAGGAGAGCCTCGTCAGGGTCGAGCGCCGAGAGATCGTCTGCACCGGCCTTGATGGCCGCAGCTGAGTCGGAAATGAGGTGATTGCCCACGTGGGTGAACGCGCCCTCCATGTTGTATCGGTGAGTAGGGGCAAATGCGCCGAATGGTGCTGCGATGGTGATAAGTCAGCCTCGAAGCGAGCGAGAGTGAATTTGTTGGCAGTTGTGACACAAGAGGGGAGGAAGAACGTGTGACAGTATTACGAAGCGGAGGAACGCTCAAGTAGTTAAATACCAAAGCAATCAGGAGGGAAAGCTACCTGGCAAGTATAAATTTTTAAAGTCTGGAAAAATCCGCTGCGACAAGCTTCGGCGCGGGATAGTTCAAGGGAAGGGATTCGTGCTCCTCGTCAACGGCCTCACATCATCGCCGCAGACGCCGGGCGGGAGACAGAAAAGAAAGAAACAGAAAGGCTGCGACCAGAATATTCGAGTTCTCAGTCTGGCTTTTCGGGCAAAGGTTTGTCGGTGAGGGCGTGCTGATCTAAAAGTCAGAAAGTGTTTTTCTGCACCGAACAGCCTGGATCTATTATCAAAGAGGTGGAAGCGGCTAGACGGACCCTGGCGCACCATGGATTGCTAGGCTTTGGTGGGATATATGCGCCCACGTGATAAGGTGGGCGGGTTATCGATAAGCTCGAAATTCGGCAGAACTGATAAGCCAACTTTTTTCGACTGTCTTCGCGCCAGCCTTGAGCTCAACCAGTCAAACCTGTTCATCAAGACTTTGAGCAGCCAATATGATTGTGAGTTGCAATGAATGTCATATGGATATTGAATGGGGATCTTTGATTTACTAATTGGATGATTGCAGCGCAAACAAGCACGCCAGAGGCGGGATTACCTGTACCGACGAGCGGTTCTGCTGCGAGATGCCGAAATCAGTGAGAAAAGAGCTAAGCTGAGAGCCTCTCTCGCTTCGGGAAAGCCATTGGACCCGACAATCGCCAATGACAAGTCACTGAGGAAAGATTACCAATATGATGAATCACGAGACCTTACTACGAACGAGCAGTTGGACTTGGACGACGAGTATGCGCAGCTGTCCGGTATCGTCGACTCTCGAGTTCTTGTAACGACTTCTCGCGACCCCTCGGCCAGATTATCAGCCTTCGCAAAGGAAATCAGGCTTCTTCTACCAACTTCCATCCGAATGAACCGTGGTAACCTCATCTTGCCTGATCTCGTCAAGTCTGCACAGTCTGCAGGCCTATCCGACATGCTTCTGCTTCACGAGCATCGTGGTACACCAACGGCTTTAACCATTTCTCACTTCCCTCACGGACCGACAGTATCATTCTCCCTACACAACGTTGTGCTCCGCCACGATATTCCTGGTAGCGTTCGAGGAACCGTGTCAGAGTCATACCCTCACCTCATCTTCGATGGCTTCACTACTCGCTTGGGAGAGCGGGTTGTTAAAGTCCTAAAGCACTTGTTCCCGCCCAGAGAGCCAATTACTAGCAAGACCAAGATTGGTAACCGAGTGGTGACGTTTAAAAATATCGACGACAGCATTGAAGTCAGACACCACGTTTTCGTACGGACAGGCTACGATAGTGTTGAGCTTGCCGAGGTTGGCCCCCGAATGACGATGAGGATATTCGAGATCCGTGGCGGTACACTTGAGAATAAGGACGGTGACGTGGAGTGGCATCTCTCTCAATACACACGAACATCCAAAAAGAAGAATTATCTTTAATTCACGGCGAGGGAAGTTGCATCTGCAAATCGAGATTCCGACCTCTTCTCTTTGCATACTTCACGTTACTCCTAGAATACCAAGCGGCCTGTGGTTGGACGAACTGGGTGTAACCAAGTTGTGGCGGGCTTCAGACAGAACTAAAGCTCAGACTAGCTGACCCCAAGGCCAAAGTGCACTTGATGGAAAGTCAGTAATCATGTCGAGAGTGCTTCGCCACGATGGCGACGTAAAGCTTCGTCAACGGCTCCAAAGTTACAATACTTGTATACACCACCGAGAGTATTGTAATGAGGATGGGAGGGGAGTCGAAAGAGATTGCGTGTATCTCATTGGTTTACAATGGCTAATGTATGCGCATTGGCGATTGACGAATCCAAGCGGGTAGTGGGATTGAATTTTCTAGACACACTGTGGGATCACGACTGTATATAATGAAGTTTCAGGTTATTGTACATACACACTGGGCCTTTTGTGGTGAAATTAATTGATTTTTGAACCAATATGAATAATAAATAAATAGGAAGGGTTCGGTATCAATTGACGCTACCAGACAGGTATGAAGATGAAAATGGGTGATTACATACTTTCACAGAGATGTCAGGAACCACTGCATGTGAATTGCAATGGAACCGTTTGTGAGCACGTCTTTTAAACAGCGCTGAGCCATGAGCTGCACGGATTTTGCACTAATGGATCGCCTAGTAGGCACATGCACATACTAGAGCAGGAAGAGGAGATCAATTGATGCAAAATACATGTACCAGAGGATGTAACCGCTACTACTGTACGCCCTGGATGAATACGAAGCTACCGACCCCTGCCCATCATCTGATCCAACAAACATCTGACGTGCCGCTCCTCGCATGAATCGTCCAGTGTGTCTTGGAGCGCAATTCGGCGCAATTACAAACGACATAAATGGGTGGGATTCTCATTGCTGTGTTTTTGCGTTTGATATGGATAACCAGCCAGGACAGACCCTGATGAAAAGGTTATTTCCCAGATGGCGATCAACCAACTGGAGCAAATTGGATAGGTACCTAGTAATGTTTTAGTGCCTCGAGCCGTTACTAGCAGCTGGCGAGGCCACTAACTTGAAGCCTGGCTCTACTGACGCGCAATGATCACATCCTCCGGCATGCCGTCCATTGGCTCGTTTGGGAAGCCCAAGCCATGGAATTCAAGCATGGTTCATGGCCATGACTTTGATGCGCATCGATTGGCGGGCGCTTGGGCCACTGCAGCTGCTCTATTTGGCCTGCAAAGGGCCCTGTGGAGCTGTCAAAACGATTGATGCACTGGACGTGATGATGGCAGAGGACACCTCCAGGGCTCACATATTTAGCGGGCTGCGTAATGGCGCCAGTTGCTAACCACTAAGCACAACCACTAACCACTGGGCGCAGCGCGCTGACAAAGTGCTCCGCTGATCCGCAGCAAAGGGACCAGACACTGAGCCAAGCTTTTTTGCGTTGAAGGACACGCCGGAATTCTGCAGCCTCGGGTCGCCGGTAAGAACGAGAAGAAAAATTGAAACAAGCCACAAGCTCTCTTTTTTGCCTTGAATTCGTTGCTTGGTAGTACAGTTACAGTTTTCCAATCCCTTCCACGGCATCCCCAGCCACTATCTATCCGGCGGCTTAAATTAGCAATCGCCCGTACGTCATCCCCCGGGGTCCTTCTGGTTCCCTTGCCTTGCCTTGAGCCTCTGGTTACATCTACCAGTACATCTGCATGTACCTCCAAGATTCCCGTCCAGTCAAATTTTTTTTTTCGGCCTTACTTTTCTTCACCTAACGTACTCGTACAGTAGTGTTGCGCCTCTGCCATCTGCCGCTTTAGGACGCGCAAAACAAATTGCCGTCCTGACCTCTTTTCTCCTCCTCCACCTCCGCACCACCCGAAGCAGCTCTCGGTATAGCTATTGCTGGTTTGTACTGTACTGCGAGTCTCCCCACCAATTAGAGCTCTGTACTCGTACTGGTCATTCTTCTCGAACCCTTCAAGCACCAGACCGTCTCTTCCGACTCTATTCACCACCTTTCCCTGCGTAGCTGCGACACCGCAAGGCCAAGCTTTCGCACCTGCTCTAGTCCCTTTGCCTAAGCATCATCACCACCTCCATCACCAGCGATAAATCAAAAGTTCAATAGACGCTCTTCCAGCAATGTCGGGGCAGAATCCTTATTCGCAAGGCCCTACCCAGGAGTCTGGCTACGGCGGCGGCGGCTATGGTCAGGTAAGCAGAATCGTCGCTGCAAGGGCGGTCGTGATCCGCGTACTGCAAAGCATTGAACCAACGATGCTAACAAAAATTGCGCCGGGCAGCTGAACCCATATGCCACCAATACGAGCGACAACGCTTCGCCGTACAACACCGGCAACAATTATGAGCTGCAGGATTACAACAACCAGGGCGCCGCCGGCAATGGCTACTCCCAGGAGCAGGGCGCCCGGCCTTCTGTTCTGTCACAGCAAGACTTCCTCAGCCGCGTGCAGACCCTGCGCAACGACATCAAGGCCCTGACTGGCGACATTGACTTCATTGGACAGCTGCATCAGCGCACCCTCAGCGCTACTGACCAGGATGCGAACGAGCAGCTGGATCACTACGTTGCGCAGACGCAAATCCGCAACACCGCCATCAAGGACGGCATCAAGGGCCTTGAGCGCGACCTGCTCAAGACAACAGACGCCTCTCGCACCACTAAGCAGACCCAGCTCGAGTCGCTCAAGACCTTTTTCAAGTCCGAGCTCGACAAGTACCAGAGCATTGAGCGCGACTACCAGGCGCGCTACAGGGAGCAGATTGCGAGACAGTACCGCATCGTGAACCCGGAAGCGTCGGAGGATGAGGTGCGACAGGCCACAGAGGCCGACTGGAGCAATGAGGGTGTTTTCCAGACAGCTGTAAGTGATTTCCTTCTTCTCCGAAGGCTCGGTTTTACTCCTTTCCCGCGCCTGTTTGTGTGGAGTGTATAAGCGTAAGCATTGCTGACCTTAGCTCTTCTCTTCCAGCTTCGCTCCAACAAAACTGGTCACGCTGCCTCTCTGCTTGGCAATGTGCGTGCTCGCCACAATGAGCTCCAGCGCATCGAGCAGACTCTCTCCGAGCTCGCTCTCCTCTTCCAGGAACTTGCTGCCATGGTTGAGCAACAGGAGAACGTGGTTGTTGCCGCCGAGGTAAACGCCGAGAACACAGTCCAGAACATTGAGAAGGGCAACGAGCAAGTCAGCCAAGGTATCGAGCATGCCCGCCGCACCCGCCGTCTCAAATGGTGGTGCGCCTTCATCGTCTTCCTCATTTGTCTCGCCATCGCTCTCGGTGTTGGTCTCGGCGTGGCCTTGACCAAAAGCCATTAATCGGTCTTGACCACCATCTGGCCAAATGTTCCGGATTTGCGTTTGTTCCTTTTCTTATTTCTCAAACTTCAAAGGGGGGGCCTCTTTCTATGGCTCACGGGGCGTAATTAATTTTCCTTTTTTTTTCCTTCTTAGACCATGAAATATGTATCCAACTGCCACTGGGAGAGCACTACGCCTCTCCGCAGCGAACGACTATTTGTACAACCTTAATTCTTACTTTGAGACGCTACGCTGGGGAGAAGAGGGATGGAGAGTAGCGTTGATTGCAGCGGCGAGTGATGGGGAGAATGAATAACCCGGCGGGGGAGAAAAAGCAGATTGCGTGGAAATGGAGGGGAGCCGATTTGATGAATCTTAATGCCATGAACTCTCGGATGCTGATGACTTGGGAGGATGGACAAGGGAATAGGGGCGAGAGTTCATGTGGTCGGTACGGATGAACATAGGATAGGGCTTTTTATAACTTTATGAAGTGGACAATGACGAGGATTTGTTTTATGAGAGGAGTCTCTTTTTGCCTGCTTCCCGGTTCATACAAGTGATGATAGTAATACATCCGTCTGTCCATCCGCTCATCCATCCATACCTAGGTAGGTACACAAACACACAGCTCCATGCTTTTGGTTCTCTCTCCTCGTACAACGGTTTTCGTTTGGGCGAACAAATGGTGACAGATCCAAAAGGAACAGAAAAGGAAAAAGGAAAAAGAAAAAAAAGAAAAAATACAAGTACAAATACAAATGATCGAGTACTTCTTGACACCATTACATATCGAAGGACGTAAGATGCCATTATAGTATCAATGTACAGAGAGGTTTCATTTCTGCATTAACAAGCGAATTTTTTTCCTCCATCGTTTTTTACCCCCTTGATTTTCCACACTGCCCTCCCTCCCCTTTAAGGTTATCCAGTCCTTCGCACATTTCTCTCTCTCTCTCTCTCGTGTGCTCCATTCGTTCCCCTTTTCTCTCTCTTCCTTACCTATACACCCTGAACCATGAACTAAATCAATTCCCGTAAAGTGTTTGGTGATAATTGCTGAATCTTCTGTTTTGCCTTGCGCCACAGGACCAAGAGAAGGGGAAGGCGGAATGCGAGCCCGAAAGAGCAGAAAGAATGAAAAAAAACTCCAACCGTTTCCTCCAACTCTCACATCGTTCCAGTTGGCAGTATAAAATATGTTGTGCCATGTACATCGGTGTTACATGAGCACGCTAGGTTCATAACTTGTCACACGCAACAGCCTGTATCTGTGCATGTGCGTATCCGAGGGCTATCCTCCTATCTTTGTTCTCTCCGATTTTTTTTGTTGTGTTTTTTTTCTTGGCATTGGGGATGTATACCTATTCGCCCGGCATCATGGTTGAATGACAATCTAAGGCATACGCAGACCGGGAGCGCCGCCTGGGCCGCCTGCTAACCTTTCTGCCAGCTTGGGGTACTTCTCCGTCACCTTGACCTGGGTTCGTGTGGCCTCGGCGTATGAAAGAGCGTTGACAATCTCGCCCTCGGTGCGGGCAAGCTCGGCAGCGCGCTCAAAGTACTTGAGCGCCTCTGTCACCTTGTTCTGCTGCAGCAAAAGCTGGGCCATAGTAGCAACAGCAATGTCACACTCGGGGTCGACTGCAGACATTGTTAATATTTGTTAGACAAAGGGGGTGAAAAACGGGGGGGTACTCACTAATAAGGGCCTTCTGGCACAACTTCTCGGCCTCCTTAAAGTCTGCGCTTGACTGGAAGAGAGCCAGAGCCTTGTTGATGAGGGGCAACACGTTCATGGACATGGGCTTGGACTGCTTCTCCATCTCCATGGCGGTGTCAAACTTCTCAATGGCTTCGGGGAAGTTGCCCTGATCGAGCAACAGCTCGCCGTAGTAGTTGTAGACGTCGGGGACCTTGGGGAAGTTCTTGATGCATCGGCGGAAGGTGGCCATGGATGAGGCAATGGAGCCCATCTTGTACTGCGTGACACCCAGCTGGATATGGGAGAAGATGAAGTCCTTGTCCAAGTCGATAGACTTCTGGTAGTCCTTCTGCGCGCTAGCGAGATCGCCTTTGATGAAGTGAGCCTGGGCGCGGTGGTAGTAGACATCGGGATCGTCATTGTCCTGCTCGAGGGCCTTGGCGAACTCGGCGTCTGCTTTGTCAGGCTCGCCCAACTCCAAGCTGATGCTAGCTCGCTTGATATAGCTCTGGGTCATCGTGGGGTCGAGCTCGATGCTCCTGTCAAAGTCCTGGGTGGCTTCGGCGTGGTTGCCGAGCAGGGTGCGCATAGTACCCCGCAGGTTGTAAGCGAGAGCTTCATGCTCGCCGAGATCGCCCAGCTCTATGGCCTTCTCGAACGCTTGCCTGGCCTCCTCGTATCCTTCGGCAGTCTTCTGTTCCAGTCCCTGGAAGCCGAGCTGCAGCTGTCCGAGACCGGTGTCGACGGGAAGTTCGACTGAGTCGTCAAGAGCAGCGGGGCGAGGCTTCTGTCGGAAGCTCTGAAGGTAGTTGCCGACGAAGATGGGGCTAGGAAGCTTGGCTGGTCTGGATGCCATGACCTCCTTGGCCTTGTGCTCGGCGAAGACCTTGAGCAGCCTCTCGACGGCCTGGGCAGTCGCCTCGCTCTTGAAGTTGTCGATGATGCAAGAGGCAGTGAAGTCGAGCAGCGCCTCTGAGTACATCTTCAGGTGCTCGTAGGCAGTGGCGCGACGGTTAATAGCCTTGACGTAATCAGGGTCCATGGTGATGGCAGCCGTGGTGTCCTCGACGACCTTTTCCCACTCGCTCATGGCGCTATAACAAGCAGCTCGGTTAGAGTAGAAGACGGCATCCGGCTTGCAGAGAATAGCCTGGGAATAGAGCTCGATGGCCTTGTTGTACGCCTTGTCTCCGTATGCCTTGTTACCGGCCTGCTTCAGACGGGCGGCGTACTGCTCTCGAACCTCGGAGGTCAGCTGCAGGACAGAAGCCTCGTCGACTTCCGGTAGCTCGGATTCGGTCTCGACGGTGGCTTTGGGCTGTGAGGCCTTTGTGTCGGCGGCCTTGCGCTCGGCTTCCTTGCGCTTCCTCCTCTCTTTCTTGCTGAGCTTTGGTGATGCATCGGACTTCTGTTGCGAAAGGCTCGAGTCAGAATACAGTACAGGATCTTCACGTTCGTTCCATCGCCTTGTCCATGCTATCCGGGTTGTTTTTCCCCGGCCCAATTCGGCGACGACGGCAGCACAGCTGTGCGATCCATATGTCGTCATGCCTAATCGAGCATCGCATCCCCAGACAACCCCTCTATGTTATGCAGGCAATGGGCAAAACGTACCGAATCGGAATTCAGATAATAGACAACTCCAGCACCTGTGACGACAACGGCCACGCCGGCAATGGTGTAGACGACGGCCTTGTTCTCTGAAACCCACGAGGATATCCTGTCCCAGGTGGAAGAAGAGCTCGCGTCGACGGCAACAGCGCCCGGAGGCATTGACGGCAGCGGTTGAGACATGCTGGGGGTCGTATGAAGAGCGCTGCCAGGTCTAGAGATATGGGCGACAGACGCAGATGCTGCTGGGATAACCGTCGATGATGTCGGGGCGCAGGAAGAGCTGCAGCAGCTGGGCACGCGCAGAAGAACAAAGAAATGATGGCACAGAAGGTTCAATCCTCTAGTCGAAATTTCCACGGGCGGTTACTAACCCACCTCTGAAGCGATTGAGCGCAAAAAACCACCCACTTGGATCCCAGCCCACTGAACCTGCCTCTGCTATTTTTTTTCTCCACCAGCCTCTAGCCGCTGAGAGAGAAAAAATCAAGACTGGAATACGCACCACCGGGTCGCCTGGAGATGCCTGAGGCAGCGTACAATCTCTTTCACTTGAATACGGTACTTACGGTACTTGGATTTCAATGTTTTGAATATTTATTTGCCTTGCATCTCCTCCAATCTGCTGCGTGCCGAGGTTTGACATTACTATGTGATTGATTGGATATGATATGATGAGGATGACATGACTAGGTTGTTAGTACTAGGGCAGCGTCTGGTGATATCATCGCAGCTGGCGAGAGGCAAACCGTAGCCGGTCGCGGATAAGTGCTCCGTTGATTTCGTGTCATATGCCCGTCCGGCCATTGGCCCATTACACGCTGCGAAATGCCGCCTGTATTATTTGATCCATTTCAATTCCCACCTCAATTAAAACTGTCGTAATACTTCTGCAAGACATATATACGTAGCTGCCGGCTCTTACAGGTGAAACTGCCACTAATAAGACGATGATGACCAGGCAGAGCTGCATGTGTGAAATATGTACATGTGCCCGTGTCCCCAGCCTGAAAAAAGCCGTTCGGCTTCCATCGCAAGCCGCGGTAATTCCTAAAGCCGATTCGTCATTATTTTCATCCTGTGAAAGCTCTTGCATTACCCGCTAAGTGGCTGCTGTCCAATTTTTATAGCCATTTGAACTTGGGTACATGTAATTGGATGCGCACTTTGAGATGCGCACTGTGAGCCCCTCCAAAGCTCCGGTTCGCGAGAGCTGCTTTATACATGCATTTAGTGAGATAGTACCTATTTTCGGAAGATCTTTGACCAATTTTCATATGAGATTACATATATGTAGGCATATATCCATATACACTCTGTACGTCCTTCAAATGCTTCATATCATCATCTAACCATGCATATTCACTCATTACCACAAATTAGGTAGTGGCACATAGTTCTGGACGTTAACTTGAACAGTCACACACGACACACCCAAAGACCACCACATTCACCATCTTGTCAGTGCATGGTTTAGTTGACCATCATGACGGACAACTTCTCCCTCTTTACGTCTCTTCGGTATGACCCCGTTCTACTAGAGGTTGCCTCCAAGGATATCGATTACGCTGGGTGGAATACCGCCAATAAGTCGTCCTTTTACATGCTCGACTACCATCGTGATCGTATGCTACGGGCAGCAACCCATTTCCAGTGGGACAAGGCTGTCCAGCTTCTCTCAGGCCAGGAGGGCTTGGAAACATTAATCAAAGCAGCTGAAGAATTCATCGGTCCATCTCAAAAGACTCCGCTTCGCTTCAAAGTTGTTGTTAGCCGTGAAGGCATCATGAGCTTCGAGAAGAACAACACAGCTGCGGTTAGCATTGAAAATCTATTTCCTCTGCGGCTGCCTTCACCCGGTGCTCCATCCACTCCCGGGGAGCCCAAGAAAACTCCATGTTGGGCAATTGTGCTCGACGATGCTCAAACGGCAGCGTCAGAGTACACACATTACAAGACGACAAAGAGGGAAATGTACGACTCTTCCCGCCAGAGGCTTGCCATTGCGCTGACCGATGAGCGGGAGGTCTTATTGACCAACCAAGACGATAAATCCATCATGGAGGGAAGCTTGACAACGCCATATTTCTGGCGAGATGGACAATGGGTCACTCCTCCAGTTTCTGCGGCCTTTGACCCGGGAGCTGGAAGTGGTGGTCAAGACGGCACCTCGAGACGGTGGGCTTTGGAAAGGTGAGCTGACGAGCTTCGATTGACACAAATTATATACCATGGATTGGCTAACGATAGAAAACCAGGGGACTAGCTATGGAGCAACCAGTATTTGCAAGTTCTTTGGTTGATGGCGAAGAGTGCTGGATTAGCAATGGTGTTAGGGGCTTTATTGCCGGCATTGTTCGTCTTAAATAGTTACACTGGGCCTATGGTTGAAATAGCGACACCTTTTGTTTCCTCGAACAGTTAAAAAAAAAAGATAAATCAATCTCTAGACGGCGTTTATTTATTGGAAACCTGGTTTATTTGCATTTCTCTTTAGCTGTGGTAATAATGCATAAGGAAATGTGATTTGCCTGCATACGTAGGGTATGCTTAATATTGGGTGTGTGCCTGGTGATCCAGTGGAGATGAAGTTGTAAAGCCATTAATAACCATAGTGTGACCTTGTTTGCTTATGCGACTCGAACGAGTAAAAGTCCAATCAGCCTCTCATCAGTTTTATTTGCTTTTTTCATTTCATCTTGCAAAGTGATTCTGATTGGTGATTCTATCTATTAGGCACCAATAAGTAATGTAGCTGAGACCTGCAGACCGGTGAAGGCCTGCATAGTGGCGGTCGCACCTCTAACAAGCGATCAAATCCTTTCCATAACACGCGTTAGCAGAATCGCGTCCACTTTCAACTTCTTTACAACCTCCACCATCTACAAATACATTACAAGCACTGCATTCTCGAGCAATCGAAGCGACGCGCTGCCATTTTGCATGCCTGAGTTTTAATTATTTTCTAGTCCCGGCTGGTATCATGTTCTATTGATTCAACGCACATCTTTTCGGGATCCATCAACCAGAGTGCATGCTCAACAATCATGTCGCCTGATGGCGGGGTTTCAATGCAAGAAGCCATTTCGGACGGCCGTGCGAAATATGTAGCCCAGCGTTACAAGCAGGCCCTTGGTTCTTTCACTGATGTCAGCAATCATTCATCATCAATACTAACCTGTGCAGCCTCCCTGCTAACTGCCTTCAGGCTATCAAGCTTTGCCCATGTGAGATAGAAAAGAAAAAGAGGAAGCGAAGCGGGTCAACAGGCCAAGAGCTTGACCAAGATGCACAACCAGACCAAGAAGCTACTGGTTTGCCAACACTCGAATGCGGCAATCCTCTTCATATACAAGCTCTAAACTACCGAGCTGGAACATTTGAAAAGATCCCAGATCTTCGTCGAGCGCTAGCTGATGCGCGGAGGATGATGGACGTTGCGCCATGTTCGCCCGAAGTATGCATCTCTTGAACAACCTCATCACGTATCGCAGCTTCTAATTGCTTACCGTATACAGGGATATCTTCGGGCAAGCAAGATTCTGCGGATGGAAGAAAACCCAGTAGACTCACTCAAAGTATTGACGGATGGCATTCTGATATTCCTTGAAAGGGGCGACTTTGAAGTCGATGATCTCCGAGTACGTTTGTTTATCTTAAGCTCTTGGCTCAAAAGTAGAATGCTAACAAGGATAAAGCGTCTTGACAAAGCTCGAAATCCCCTCAAACCGAAATTTGCCAAGGTTGACCCTTTGGGTGACTTTCTGAGTCTTAGTTGGATGTCAAAGGCTCATCTACCGACGGAACTTATACTGGATATTTTTGGCCGCTTGGAACTGTCAACGCTGTGGTACGTCGCACAATCACTTGATCTGTTTTGGTCAAATGTTAACCCAAAGATATTGTATTGTCTAGCCAATGTCTGCGTGTCTCCAAATCTTGGAAGAGCGCATTAACAGCGCCAGCAAGTGCACAACTTTGGAGATCGCTCCAATTCACTGGTGCTTCAGTGCCCAAAAAGCCCATTTCATTTGACTCCCTAAAGAAATTGCTCTCCTACTCATCGAACAATATTAGGGAGCTTGTAATAAGCGATGCTCGCAAACTATACCTGGATCGGAGGAAATTCAACGCCTTCTTGACCGCCGGAATCAGACTGGAACGCTTGGAGGTAATTAACCCGTGTGAAGCCCTAGACCTCATGCGACCTCCAAGCTATCTCAAATACTTGAATCTTGAAGGATTCCATCGTTTCTACAGGCCTGGTTCTGCAGGCGCGGACCCCTATCGGTTCTTTCTATTGTCCATTGTTCGTAATATAGAGACTCTCATTCTATCGGGACTTCCTAGACAATGGTTTGGCGACATGGAGGTGCCTCTGATGCCTAATTTGAGACACCTCAGGTTGTCCAAGGGTAGAGAACAACCGTGGACATTGTCTGTTGTAAGAAGTTCAAATCAACAACGTTCTTGGAATCGCAAACTAACTTGTTTCAGTGTGCTCTGTTGAAAAGTACTCCCCAGCTGGAACAGCTCTATTTGGATAGCCTCCTTTTAGATTGCAGGCTTCCAACGGGTGAGGAATTCGACAATTGCTGTGTTCCCAATCTCAAATCTGTCACCATTGTGGATCTGAAAGTGTTAGTGTTGGAAAGGGGTTTCAACAACCTTTGGCTTCAGCAGGGCCGATCATCTGCCCTGGAAGCGCATAGATGCGTAACAGCTTTGAATGGCGGAAAGCAACTCAAGGCTCTGGATATACACTATAACTGGCAGTACACCAACACTGAACAGACGGCCAACGACATATTCAGTCGCATGTACCAAGACCCTTCATACGAATACGAAAATCTAGAGTTTTTGCGCTTCTCCAAGCTGGTCTTGGCGCCAAACTTAGCAGAGAGGCTGTTTGGATCGTCTATAAGATCAGGAAAACTATCTTCGTTTGACATTTGTTTCCCTCTCCCCAGATACAGCGAGGTAACTGGGCAAACGAGTTGGGAACACATCTTGAAGTATAAATGGCTCGAAGGGGCTGAGAGCATTCGATGCCTCGGCATCTACGACTTCAGCTTCAAGACTTATACGAAGGGATTGGATCACCCGCTGGTCCAATTTCTACAAACATTTCCGCTTCTGGAGGAGGTGAAGCTGGGGTCAGCCAATTCTGGGCCCGCGGAATACCTGCTCACGGCCCAAGATGTTATAAAGTTCGTGAAACTGAAACGCATAGAAGTTGCGGATATATCCGGCGAATCTTTTGATAGAATTCGGCGGCTGGCGAGACAAGAAGGCGTCAGCCTGACCTGGGAGGCTCAAAAACCAAAGTGGCCTAGAGACTTCAAAGACAGTTAGACACAGAAGAAGAGAAGTCCTTGCAATCATTTATGGGTGTGATTTTCTTAGGATGGAGTACGGGAAACTTGTGGTATTGATGGCAGGTCAAATCGGATACATGTAGCATCAACAGCGATCGGTATGATAACAGAATATGGATACTTTACGAGGATAGCCAGGGCAATGGTTAGCGGGATAAATATTTACACTTTCAAGGAGTTACCACCATCATCGTACGCAATATTCCGATAAATCTCTTTCGCCCCCCTTTTTGAACTTGGAATCGGAATTGGTGGAAGACTCATCTGTATGCTTCCATCAGTTCCCACCCAATCACCACACGCCCAGAGCTTGTGTGTTTCTATCTTCTTCCATTACACAGCACATCGAGTGTTATACATTGGGTAGCTGAGAATAGCGGTGAGTATTTTGTTAATTCACTGCACATTTTTATATGGTCAGAGCTGGATAGGCACATAATATGCCCTCAAGGTTTTGCGTCATCACATAGGATGAGGCAGCATTCACTCCGCCAGCTCTACGGGTAGTTGCTTGATCTCTTATATCTGTTGACTGCTCACCAGTTTACTTGGCTATATAAACTCTCGCTGCTACCCAGAATATGGCAATCTTTTTGCCTCCTCAATTTACTTATTACGACACAACATTTACAGACAACGTGTCATGATACTGTGAGGTTTGAAACGTCTTTCTTCAGCAATATAAGCTGCGAATAGGCAAGCAAGGCCTTTTACCACTCTTATAATGGCCTTACGTTGCTGCTATATGAGTTCGCAGTCTTATTGCAAATCTATCTCTCTGGCTTACTTTTGAACCCCTTCCCCTTTGCGGGTTCAAATGTCTCCAGTTAGACAACGTCCCAATGACAAGTGAGTTGGTTGTAGAACCCCCATTTCGAGAAGAGAGAGCTCAACAATCGCTGTGCACAACCCATTGCTAACCTGCACGTGTGCAGTAACGGATTCCTTGTCCGTCACAAAAGAGGACAATCCACTTGTAGAGGATGCAGAATTTCAAATACAGACTACATACCCGTGCGGCTCTCAAGCTAGTGAGGAGAAACCCAGATACATGTGGCTAGAAACCTCCCAGCGACTAACACAGAGCAGAGCACTTTTCATCCCGAAATACACATACAAGGACATTAAACGCCAAGGGAAAAAGAAAAGTAACTGCTTTTCTACACGATTATCCCGAGTAAAAAGAGCTATAAAGAGTTATCAAGGACTACTCTGAAATTCTCGTAGCTCGAGAATACGATGCGTGAACTAATGTCGAGTCTCGACAAGACCCAGCTGGAGAAGCTGTGGAAGCTTCGTGAGTTGACGAGTCTTGACGAGGACCAAATACGAGAACTTCAGAGACTCCATGAGAGTACGCAGACCAATGATGATACTCTTATCCCACACATCTTCCAACAAATTGTGCGACTTGGCCGGCACGCACAGCGAGGAATCAATTCCCCCCACCGACAGCCAAGGGGGACAGACGGCAATGATGCTCCTGCATCAGTTCCGAAATCATTATCGGCAGATAACTCTATCTCTGCTGACTATTCATTTCTGTACATGACGTTGATTCAACAATGCTTGTATCAAAATACTTAAGGTCCCTTAGGGAAGTACATAGCTCCAAGTATCCCTATTCGAGTGTGGAAGATGGTTCATACATCAACCGAGTTATACTACGATGATGACGAGCCCATTTATGCGTCAACAAAAACTTATTACAATGAATATCACCCTATATGGGCCACCGATCAGATACTTGTTCTACCGTCAAGGCAACTATACTTGTATAATACCTACCTCATCTCTGGAACACCCGGCATCTTCTGCTGCTCGAAGAGCACTTTACGTGGCAGATATGAAGACCATGAATGGAAGAAACGCACACTCGGCTACAGTTCATCAATGGATCATCGCAGAATGCAACAGAAGCCACCCGCTATCGGCTCAGCCTCCCACCAACATGATATTTGTGGACGTCAACAACGGTCAGGTCCTTGATGAGATCCCCTCATCACATCTCCAGCCTGAGGCCTCAGTCGATTATGATTCGGAGGAGCAGCGAGCAGCTGATGTGACACACGCGAACAGCATCGCTCCAAACGGCACGGCTCATATTGCACTTGAGATCCCTTCATCTCGTCTCCAGCTTAAGGTGTCAAGAGAAGAGACAGGATGCCAGGGTAGTACCCCTTTTAACTCATGCTTAACTAGATTTATACAGCAGCTCATTGACCAAATCACAATCGCAATGTATTCACATATATTCTCTTCAAATCCCATCTAAATATGCTCATAAGATATCCAAACATCTCGTATTAATTCGGAACTCCCATCTCTGCCTTTATTTTCTCCAGCCTCTCCAGAAACTCTGCTATTATCTCACCACTCTCGGAAATCCTATCAATAACACCCGCAGATGTCCTAACGCAAAGCTGATTGTCGTCCACATGCCAACACAGTGACTCCTCTAGGGCTCCTTCCAGCCACATCTCATAGACGGTACATAGAGATTTCTCATCGAGACGAAGAATAAGCTGCATTATACCCGATCCAGGATACTTCAACTCAACCTCCATAAACCAAACCTTCAAATATCTGGGGGCTGAATTTGGAGAAGCTATTGCCTGACGCGCAATATCTCGGATAAGCGCACAGAATTGTGGAGGAAAGTCGCCATATTGACCCTCTTGATCGGTGACCCCAAACTTGGCCATTGCCATTTCAAATACCCTTGTGTGATCCCAGTGAGTGGCAAGGTATAATAGAGCACGGTCTCGGACGCTTCCCTCCCAAACCTCTAGGTTGTCCATCAGTATTTGAGAAACGCATTTCGGTAAACGAGGATGCTGGTTCATGATGATTCCTGCCACTGCTCTGTGAAGCGGCTTTGTGCCTCCAACCATGACGGCCACGCTATTGAACATGACATCTGGCACTCGCCCATCATAGTGCTTTTGACCCTTGGACGCTAATTCCACTAATACGTCTTCTTGGCTGCTGAAATAGGCGGCGAGAATGTTCAAGATATTGTAGCGGATGCCTGGGCCCGCTAGAAGCTTAGAAAGTTCTTCCAAATGAGTCCCGTCGAAGCCGTTTTTGCCGAGAACCTCGAATAGAATGTCGACTACTAAAGTATCTAGAGTAAGAGTGCTGAGCTGGTTATCTGGATATTTTGGCTGACAGAGCTGCTCCAAAATAACGTTTTCGATGCTCTCCAACTTCTTTGCGGAGTTTGCATCGTATAGCCTGTCTTTCCAACGCTGAAGAGCTTGTCTTATCATTTCTTCTCTGCTGTCCAGGGGTGCTTGTGTCTCCTCGGCCTTAAAGTTGTCAAGAATAACCGCGTCAGTGTCCAAGACTTTCATAGTTTTTGTCAAGTCCATCAGTGCTTCCTTTACCTTTTCAGGCTGGGCATATACTGATCTCATAGCAAAGCCTCCATCTATTTTCGGATAGAGAGACTGATCGCGCGCCAAGCTCTTCAGAACCTCATAGGCGTCTGATGGCAAGTCCAACATGGTCCTTAGCTCTGACAAAACACCGACTCTAGTCTCATTATTACGGACATGTAGACATTCTAGTAAACCCCTCACGATCAAAGGGTTGTACTCTGTCTCAGTCCTAGTCTCCGCAAGCTTCCATATAGTGACCGCAGCGTGTTGGTAAATACGCCTGTCCGAGTGGTCTAAAAGCTTAGAGAGAAGCGACATTGCAGCCGGAGTCGACCGTGGCGTGTGCCAAAGGAGGCTCATTGTTGCAAAACTCAAGTTGAGGGTATCTTCATCATACTCTTCCGCATCAGCGTCCCCATCTGCAAAATCCCGAGACCACTCAACTACAAGGTCTACCAAGCTGGGAGAAACTCTCGGTCGCGCGATGAGCCCTTGGGCAAATTCTTCACGCAAACTTTTCCTGTAAAAGTCTATAAAATCGGCGACCTCTTTCAGAAGTCTTTCGGGGAATTCTGTCTCCCCCACTAGCTGGCGTACCGTTTGCCGAGAGATTTGAGACTCCAAGATGAGCCAGTCCATCATTTTAAGTTCCAAGGACTCGCGAAGTTCCACAAATGAAGTTGGTTCGAATGCATTGCTATTAATCTCTGCCAGGCAGTGCATAGTCAACCGCAAATGAGCAGGACCAAGCAGGTCCTTTGGCTCTTCTTCTATTGTCTGGAAAAAGCGATTCAATGCCTCTTCATCGTGCTGAAGCTGGATGGTGCCGGCAACGAAGCGCCAGAAGACATCATAGCTCGCATTATACTTCTCCATTCGTAGGAACGTCTCCGGTTTGGTAGGTGTTGATTTCTTGGTAGAGTAATCAAATACCATTAGATCTTTCTTCGATATCCAGTGTTGTACAAAGAACTGCGCGGCAAACAACTCCTGGAATGTCAAGTGCAGGAAGTGATAGCTTCGTGTAGTCGGTGTTAGCGGTCCATCAGAGGTGCGAAGGAATGAGAGCTTATCCAAGTCGGTGAACCATGGTTGCATTTTAGCTAGAGGGAGGTTGCCTGCAATGATGCTCTGCTGATTGTGAAATTTAGTGAGAAAGGCCGAATCGAATTCAACCATATTGTTACAGAGCCCGGTGAAAGAAAGTGACTGAAGGGCATTAATCTCTGCTTGGCAAAGAATTCTGATATCGTCCGAGTAAGAAGCTTGTGCTTCGTGTTTCAACAGCGGTTCAGTGCTGCCTTCGCGACGTTTCTCCAACAATTCCACATCCTTGTTCCAAAGAGACCTCTCTATGGCGTGGTATAGTTCAGTCATGGTCTCTGGAGGACTGTCACCGTCCAACATCCCAGCTATCATGCTGTAGCAGATGGCGTCAAGCTGGATCGGGATACGGGCTAACCCAGCTACTACAGGATGGCTCTCGATAAACTCAAAAATTTCCTCTGCTTTCCCGCTACCGTGCTTTCCTATGTATTCTTTCACTTGGTCAGGGTAGAAGCCGATTGTTTCGAGCTCCAGGTCAATTTTCTGGAAAACGTCACGGTTGACACCTCGAGGGCGTGTGGTTATAATGACCCGAGGCTGATTGAGAAGTTTGAGAAGAAGTTCATTGCCGGAAGTGTGCAGTTCTCGATGAACTTCATCGAAGCCGTCAAGAATAAAAAGCGTCCTACTGGGGTCTTCCGTAAACGATATTTCCAGAGCCTCGCCGAGAGTACCTTTGCCAGCCCTTTCAACATCGGGGAGGGATCGGCTCAGGATATCTGCAATAGATTGCCCCGATTCTAGGTTACTCTTGATCTGGCGTAATGGGACCCAGATGACTCGATCGATGATCCCAGCCCACATGTCCTTGTGGATAAAGTCGTATACCATCTTTTTGCAGAGAGTAGTCTTTCCTACACCGGCTTGGCCACGGATAACAATTCGCCGGGGTGGATCTCGGAGAATGTTGTTTGATGTGTCTTTCTTCTCGTCAAAAAGGGTTTCCAAGCTGACACGGTCGGTCTCTGGTGGCTCCCAGACATCCAAACGACGGAGAATAGAAAAGGGAGAGGGTAGGGGAGTATCGGAATCCCCATTCTGTTTTGATTCCAAGGAGTTTCTAACAATAGCCAGATTTATATAGCATTCGTCCATAGATATTTTGCTACTATCAAGGCGTTCAATTTTGAGCAGGTCTAGATCCGGGTCTGTATACTTATCCCGTAACATTTGATCCGCGTAAAACTCCCGGACTTTGTGACAACTTTGCCACGCATTTTCCAGTAACTGCTTTCGGGGTTGATGGGCCTTAGTTTTTGAGCATTCAACATTACTCAAGTATATTTTGCGACGTCCGGATTTTGACAAGTTCGGGGAGTCAATTTGCGGCGATCTGGTAACCAGTCGAGCCCATTCAAGTACACGACAGAATTTGGTCTGACTTGCTTGGGTGACAAGAAACGTCTTGAGAACGTTGACGACTTGGTCATGTTTCAGGTCGTCTGCCAGTTCATGCTGTGCGCAGAGTCCACAGAGGAAATCCTTGTCTTCGCGACAAGGCAGGTCTGGATGCTGAAGTAAAGCTTCCAGATGCTTTGGAGCATTTGCCCAGACCAAGCCATCAGTGGCTCGCAAAGCGATATACAAATCCTTGGGTTTCTTCAGCGTTTTGAATGCTTTGCCCGTGTTGGAGGCGCTCTGAAACAATTCGCTGCATGATTTGATGACCTCGATGATGGAGCTTATCAACTCAGGCACTTCCGTCAAGTCGACCAGACCTTCCACAAGCTTTGATGGATCGAGAGACCAGACAGAGCCAGCGACCTTGGCACCTCCTAAGATAGTCTTGAAAGTGCTGGCTCCAATCTTCTTCCAAGGACTCACGTCAGTTGGAATAGCCAGTAGTGCTTGATAAGAGTAACTCGCGACCTCGGCGAGACGAAGCTCTTTATGATCTCTGAGCTTCTCCAGCCGCTTCAGCAAGTTCTGCACTTTGAGATCCACGATGCCCTCTATCTTGACTTCATTCATAGCATCCAAAACCGCCGAAAGTGCACGAATCGAGTTGTACTTGGTTTGGCCATGAGCTGCATCAACAGCACTGTCCAGTGCCTTTTGGATCGAAAGCATGGCGCTCCCGAGGTTCAATCTTTTTCCAGCCAGCCCAGCCTGGCGACAGTGAAGAAACGCCTCGAATGCGCGTAGAAGCTCAACATCCACGATCTTGCCGTCTACCGCAGCACTTGCGATGACATTGTGGAATTTGTCGAATACACGTACATAGCCGTCTTCATCGAGGAAAGGCGCCAGCGGAGTGATTTCAATGGCATGTGTTTCGCTCGGGCTCTGAATAAACTCATTGATTATGGATTGCTGTAGGGCTTGCAATGCCTGCAATTCTTTGGCAGAGCGGGCGGTTGGCTGCCTCTCAGCCGCCTCTTGTTTCGATAGCTGCGCTGCAAGGCTCAGCCGGCGACAAAGATCATCCGTGGATGATGGCCGACAGAAATTCTCCCTGGAACTCGCCATCAGGAGTGCGTGTTAGAAGTACATGCTGTGTTTCTGCAATTGGCAGTGATGAAGCGAACTTGTAGTTGTCGTCACCTCGTGACAGCTCCAGCCGCTGTTAGTGGCTTCTGTGAATTTCCAATAGTGTCCTGCAGCGTTTCAGCTCTGAATACAGAGGAGGCCTTGTATTTGGAGATCCTTGAAAAGTTACTTGACAATCTGCCATCAATAACTTCGAGAAATCTACTCAGATAGTGATGTTGAGTATTCTAATTACAGCAAGTTGGTCATGAGTAGAGGATGGATATCATAAGTTTCTTCTATTTACGACGCATGCTAGAAGGCGATGCAATACTTATATCATAAAGCTTCGTTGCTTCCATCATAAAGCTTCGTTGCTTCCATCATAAAGCTTCGTTGTTTCCATCATGTCCGCCCAACCTTGAATGATAATACCTGGAGTGCATTTGTCAGTATATATTTCTCCCAGAGCGGCCGATACATGGTGTTCAACTTACATCATTCTTCCCCACGGCAACGACATCATCTTCAGATACCCTCATGTTTCCAACTCCTTCCACAAACGCAATCGGCGCATCACCCATCACCTTCCGAGCAACGTCACCCACTGTCAACCCCTTCTTCACCAGCACGCAATCTCTAAAGACAAATTTGGATTCGGACGCTCCAGAGCTAAATGTCGTCGTGTTTCGGACGGGGAAGACGGGTACCAAGCCGAGCAGCTCAGCTGCCTTGGACAGCACCTGTACGACTCCAGTAGACCCAAACCGGTAGAGCACCATATCCTTTAGATTCTCTATTCGATTTCGGTTCTTTTCGTCGAGTTCTTTGAGGCCGCCTCCTGTAGGGTCACCTTGCTCGATGAGATCTTCTCTCGTGTCGATGAATTCGCTTCCCTCCACGTATTTGATGTATCCTTGCTTCGCCATTTTCCTCAAGAAGATTTCTGAAATTGCCGAACAGAGTACAACCGCATTAGGGTCCTGCATCTTGGCAATCTTGGCAATGTTCTTATCTGCATCGGGATGATCGATCTTGTTTAGCGCTATAACCGTCGGGAACTTTTCGTCGATGAAGCAGTTGACAATGTGTTCAATCGTTTCGTCTGACCACTCCTCCAGAGGCTCTTTCACGCCTGATCGATCTATTGTCCGCTGTACCGTTACTATTGTGGATCCATAACCGGAAAACTGGTTTTGTAATGTCTCGACAGCCGTCGCCTTGACCGCGATATGTCGCCGCTTGATGCCTCCCCATTTTTGCATCAGATTGCCCAAAATCCATGCAACAACCTCACTGCGCAGCCACGCGATATCAACCGAAGGATCGTAGCCTCTCGTCTCCTTGCCTTCCGCATCGACAGTTCCGGACGCATCAACTACGTGAATAAGCGCATCGGCATGTCGTAGATCGTCCAAGAATTTGTTTCCCAAGCCGCGGCCTTGATGCGCACCAGGCACTAATCCCGCGACATCTAGAAGCTCGATCGGTACAGATCGTCGGCCGTCTACGCAAGATCCGTAGTTGGGCTTGCATCTGTCTGATACGTTGAAGCGCGCACAGGCGCAGTCGATCTGAAGGTATCCTATCGCTCGCTGAGGATCAATGGTGGTAAATCTGTCGCACAGGAACAAAAGAGGATGTCCAAGTCAGCTTCGCGAGCTTTTATTCGAGTGAGAATGGGGCAGGTGGGCGAGTATTCACGGGAAGTTGCCTGCACAAAAGGATGTTAGTCTCAGTATAAGCATCTACCAGTTGAGCGACAGATTGTCTCTTTGCTGTCTCTTTGTTTCTTTCAACGTTTTAAAAGATGGACAAACAAACGGGGCTACTGACCAACTTTAGAGGAAGCATCTGTTAAGCTGTTGAGCGTGCTGCTCTTGCCGGCAGAGGGCTTGCCAACCAGCCCGATGAGGGGATCGCGAGGCATGGCGGGGCGCGCGCGAAATCTCGGAGGATGCGGACGAATACAATAGAATATAATGATATTATTTATTGAACTGTACAAGAGAGAAGCTTATGGCAATGAATCTATTAGTGATGAGAAGAGCCGGAATGCGTGGGAGACTGCGGGAAAGATAGCAGATATGATATCGCAAAAAAAGATTTAAAAAAAAAAAAACGGATCGGCAATATGCAAAAAGTTGGCGCAAAGTGGACGCTTGTGACGAGCCGGCTGCGATGATGTCGTTCAATGTACCCAATGGTAAGCACGGCTACTGCTGATGTCGTACTAATAAGAAAGTTACTTATTTATAGGAGACATACACACTAAAACACGAGTACTTTCAGTCTGCCGATACTAACCCCTCCATGCTCATTCACTTCAAGGTACTTCCATGCTAGGCAGCTTGTATAACGGACGATTTGACTTTCATCTCAAACAAGACAGATCACCAACGCCTGATCTTTCCTTCCTCAAGCAAACCTCTCAAGATATCTCACATTCAAGTAATCTCACATTGTGGCATGGCGCATTCACAATTACCCATCGAGGCTTTCCCAGCCTGGGCTGCCGTGAACAGTGTGGAATTTGCAAACGCAGAGATACGAAACATCGAGGGCAAAGGGCTTGGCCTTGTTGCCAAGCATGATATCACGGATGCGGACCATGATGCTCCCAGCTCACAAGCAATCATTCGAATACCTCAGGATCTTGTTTTATCTTCAGAGACAGTAGAAGTATATGCCAAGATTGATCGGAATTTCAAGCAGCTATTCGAGGTTGCTGGACACCAAGTAAGTATCAGAGTTCACCCGTGGCAGAGTCCACATGACGACGACGATGCTAATATCTGGAGAGAGCACCAGGATTGATATCATGCTGTATCTGTTGACTCATATTATTCAATTGAAAGAAGCTTCTTCAGTTACTAGATTATTTACTTCAACGCCGTGGACCGAGTATATCAAGTTCTTGCCTCAATACATCCCTGTTCCTACGATGTGGACGAATGAGGAGAGACAACTACTCAAAGGCACATCTCTAGAGGTAACTCGACGTCCCCCATCTACTTCGAGAATAACCTATCGGGGATTTCTCCTACATTGTTACCCAAATGCGGCTCATAATGCATGAAGCCGCAGCTGTCATGCAATGCTGTACTGACAATCATACCACACAGGCAGCATTGAGTGCCAAGCTATCGGCACTCTCACGCGAATATGATGAGATCAGCGAACAAGTATCAGATATACCCTTCTGGAGAGATCTTTTCTGGGACACTGCAAAGGTGGAGGATTGGATCCTAGCCGATGCCTGGTATCGCTCACGATGCCTGGAGCTTCCTCGAGCTGGTCATGCCATGGTTCCTGGACTGGATATGGCGAACCACACACAGGCCCATTCTGCATACTACGATGAAAGTCCTGACGGCGATGTGGTACTGCTTCCGAGTTCAGGGTCGGGGATATTATCAGGTGGAGAGATTACCATCTCATATGGACAGGCAAAGTCGCCAGCCGAGATGCTGTTTAGCTACGGCTTCATCGACAAAGAATCCTCTGTCAAAGAGCTAACACTACACATCGCTCCGCTACCCGACGACCCTCTAGGAGGAGCTAAACTCCGCGTTAACAATGGACCCCCCACTGTTCGGCTATCTTTGACAGAGCAAGGTGTCCAGTGGAACAGCCCTTTTCTGTATTTGCTAGTTCTCAATGAGGAAGATGGTCTTGCTTTCCGCATAGCGCAAGACACGTCAGGGGAACGCCAATTGGTACTATTTTGGCAAGACGAAGAAGTTACGGACCGGACTGATGAGCTTGAGACGCTTGTGCAAAGTCACGACCTATACCAAGTGTTTAAGCTTCGAGCTGTAGCCGTGCTGGAGGAGCGGGTTGCGATGCAGCTGGACAGAATCTCCTCCGGACTCTCGTACGGGGTAACGGAGCAACCACAAGCAGCAAATCAGCCGCGTGCGGAGTGCATGCTAGCGGCTGAGACTTTGAGAGATCTTGAAACCCAGGTCCTGCAAGGTGTGGCGGAGGCGCTAGAAAACGAGGTACGATATTTTTTTCCTGTCCTTTCTCTCTCTCTTTTGTGTTTGAGGCACCCTTCCCTTGTCCATGGGATTCCGACGGTCCGGGGTCCAGCCAGATGGCGGCAGATGGCTATTCCCGAAGAAGACCAAGTTCTCAATTTAAACCAAAAAGTCTTGGATAAATGCTAATGCAACCACGTAATATCACAGAAGGCAAGGCTGCTTCTGGACGCACGCGTAGTGACATATCTCGGGTCTATGGAAGATGCCCAAAACGAGCAAGCGTCTGGGCCGGCAGCCAATGAAGAGGACGATTTCAGCTAAGCGGCCGAAATAGCCTGGCGGCGTGGGATGAACAGCCGGGGAAGCGCTGATATAAACTCTAGCGTGGGGATCGACGATTGATCATTGTAGATGTTTGCGCCGGCTTGACCCGACAGGGAGGCAGTGAGAAGGAGGGCGACTATTGTTTGTGGCCTTTTGACGCTTTGTAGTCGAGTCTTGTATCGTGATTCCGCTCGACAAACTAGCACTGAGCTATTGACTGAAACGGAACTAAAATGCGGGTTGAACATGCGATCAATGCAGTATAAGTGAATGCTCAAGCGGCCTGTAGATTTATTAAACAGATCTCGGTGATGAACATGTTGAATAGAACTGGAGAGCCGTTTCATATCTGGAGATGTTTGATCTCAGAAGATTAAACGTATCTCGTATCGTGGTCATCTTCCGTTTTGTTTGTATGACATGACAGGCGCTGGGACGATTTTAAACTTTAAGCTCTTCTTTCCATGCCACCATTTCGAGCGTGGCTGACGCTTCGAACTCTGAGTTAGGGCAAACGAAAACCACTAGCACCTCAGTCTTGGCACAAAATACGGGGAAAGAAGTGTTAATGAATGCCATGAAGGATAATAGATGTGCCGACAAGCACTAAAAGTCTCCCATCTGATGATAATCGGACATGCTGAATGTGTCCATGGGAAGTGGGAGGATGAGTGTGTCCCGGGTGTGAGTGATTAAGCCAGGGCTTTATTGGGGCCTAGGCAAGATGGCTGCAAGACCGGAGAGGAACGCGGCACCTCGCAGCTGAATGCTAGAATGGAAGAGCTGCATGGCATAAACACGCTCCTCTAGGCTGCATTGAGTCAACTATTCTTGACAATGATTTCGGTGTCGCGTGGACCGAGCTGGGGCACAGCAGAAAGCTGACGGCATCGGCAAGGGTCCGAGGCTGCCGGTGTGTTGGACGCTCGAGAGTCGGTGGTTAAATCTACGCCGATTCCATTGAGGTGAGATGCTTAGTGAATCAACCAGTGCTGATTCCGGTGCCGCCGTTTTTTTCTCGCGTGCGTACAAGCAGATAGACAGGCGATAGCAGCATCACGTTATGGAAATGGCCCCTTAAGAGGTCACGTTATTGAGAATGAGTCGGAGGCGAAAAACGCTGCAGCAGTACCCAAATCCAAACCTGCAATTCGGCAACCATGACAACACGTATCTTCACAGTGGCATGAAACGATGGCCGTTGGACAAACGCCACCACCGCTCCCATTTCCCGTTCTTGTTGGCCGAATGTCAAAAGCTGGCACAGTACGAGTGCGAAGAGAAGTGAGAGGAGCTGCTCCCCGGCTTTTCCCACCCCGCACTATGTGCGCCTTAGGGGGGCAAACCGCGGGAAATCTGGGGTAAATCAGGCCATAAGTCGAGATTTCTTCGGCGCTAGCTATCTGGCAAAGGCTTTGGAATCCGTTCTAGAGCTCGAAGGCCCTTGCGTGGGCTGGTACGAAAAGTAAGACTGCAGCGGTAAGATATCGAGGGCGAGGGGCGTTGTTGGGAACAATGGGTTGCATTTTCTGACTGCGCGCTCGACCTGCATCCCCCGTCAGGCCCCGTACTTCGGCCAGCCCTCAACTGGACGGACGGCCCATGTGGGTATTGCGAGTACGGCGGTCGGGCTAAAATGTCGCGATGCTGGGTTAGGGTTCAAAATTTCTTCAGCCAGCGAGCCTCACGTCGCGGTGATTGCGCAGGGTATGTTCATCCATCTGCCGGAGCAGCCAGTCGCTAGCATCGTTGCCGTGCAAGTACTAGAAGGCAAACCCTTGATGAGCTAGCACACACAGGTACTCCGTGCCAGCAAATGGACATGGTCATGGATTAGTAGATCAACATTGGAACAGAGTCATGGCTACTGTACGAGTACAGGCAGAGCCGGGGTGGGGGCATCTCGTGGCCTACCAGGGGGGCGACTAGCGAGCGCAGTGCAAAAAAGATGGAAGAAGACAACCGAACGTACGTCAATCAAAGTCGGGACTGATGAATGACAGCCCCAACGAAAGACGTTGGCGGGTGGAGCTGGCTGGCCCGGATCTGTCCAGTCACAGCGGCGCGGTGCCTATTAGGGCGTGCGGCGTGCATCAGCAATTTGGGTGCTTTTTCATGCGAGCAAAGGAGGAACGAGAGGATTTCCGATGGGCAAGACGAGATACCGTGGGTTGATAGGATTGAGGCCATCTCCAGGCGAGACTGCGGTGGTTGCAACCCTTTGCAGCCGGCTGTAGCAGGTACCGCATTCGTACCTCTCCGGCGCTGGACGTATGCAGGACTAACATGCAGAGGACCTTGGCGGCGCCCTGCCTGGCACCCAGCCGTCAGTTAGTACATGTACCTGCCTCTAGCACCCAGCCAGCGCGCTACAGGGTGCTAGAACTGGGTGCTAGAGGCAGCACTTGGTCAGAAGGTTTGCGCACTAACCAATCCCCTTCCCCGGGATTTAATTGCCTGCCCGTGCGAACTCGAACCCGTTGCAGCGCTCCTTTCCATGTCCTTTTAGGCTCCACTTCGCCATTCTCTGTCCTGGGCTCGCTCTTCCATTTCCCTTTCCCTTCCATTCTCTCACACCCCCACAATATTCTTCACTCTCTGCTTTGCTTCTCCAGCTGACGACCGGAATACTTCCCATTATCGAACACGAGGACGAGTTTCATTGGTATTGCGACATCATCGTGCCTTCTGGAAACAAACCGAACCAAATCGTGGCAACGTGATACTTGCCCACGCTGTCTCGCCATCTGTTGCGCCGAACCACGGCTGGTGGGCGAAGAAAGCCCCAATCAGCAAGTTCGCTCGCATAAAACAACGCCTTGACCAACACCACCGAATCTTTATATCCCTTTCTCAATCGACGCTCGGATCGCAATCGCCACAATGCCGGGCATCCTGCCTATGAAAGTCATCAAGGTGGGCAACAGCGCCCAGAGTCGCATCGCCCAAGCCTGTGACCGGTGTCGCAGCAAAAAGATCCGCTGTGATGGCGTCCGGCCGACATGTTCACAATGTTCCTCCGTTGGCTTCGAGTGCCGCACAAGCGACAAGCTGAGCCGGCGTGCCTTTCCGCGCGGTTATACGGAGTCTCTAGAGGAGCGGGTTCGTGCGCTCGAGGCAGAGGTCCGCGAGCTCAAGGACTTGCTGGACGAGAAGGATGAGAAAATCGACATGCTCTCTACGATGCACGGAAACATTCATGGCGGACCACGACGGAGGCCTTCAGTCACATCCATGGCCACTCCGGTATCACCAGATTCCGCCAAAGACTCGCCCACCATAAAAGAAGACACCTTCCGAGTGCAAGCTACACAATTGCTTCTCGGCGTCGAAAATTCCGACTCATACTTTATGGGCTCATCCAGTGGGCGCGCCTTTATCGGTATGTCATACTTTAGCTGCCCCACGTTCCTACAACCCACGCGCGCACAATGCGCAGATACACAGCGATCTTACTTGCTTCCCCAAAGTCTATTACCATGTTTCTAACGTCTTTTCTATGTAGCCTCTCTCAAGCGTAAGATGCAGGACAGCGGCAAGCCCTGCAGTGACTTTACCCCAGACGCCTTCTTGCATATCCAAGGCTGCACTCCACTCGTTGCCAAGATGTCGGAGCAGCCATCAAGGGTCCCTCCTCGGCTCTTTTCAGACAGATGTGTCAATGTCTTTTTCCAAGAATGGGCCCCTCTATTCCCCGTTCTTCACAAGCCCACTTTCCTCCGTATCTACGAGGAGTTCGTCAATGACCCAGAGAGAGTCAAGTGCAACTACAAGCTTGCCCAGCTGTATCTCGTCTTCTCTCTCGCGGGCCTCTCGTCAGAGGCTCCAGATATTCAGCAAGTTGCTGCCTGCGAGTACCAATGGACGAAGGCCCTAGAGTCCCTGATGCTGGAAAACACCATGAACACTTTGCAGTGTCTTGTGCTGGCTCTGCTGTACTGTACCGTCCGGGCCGACTATCGTCGTCTCCAGCACTACAAGTGCATCGCCGTGGGTCTGTCTCACCGGCTAGGTCTGCACCAGAGCCAGAAGCGCTTCTCCTTTGGCGCCTTGACCCTCGAGACCAGAAAAAAGGTCTTTTGGACACTGTATGCCCTGGACACCATGACAGCTGCCATTACTGGCCTTCCCAAACTGCTGAAGGAAGAGGATGTCCAAGCGGAGTATCCATCCGACACTGACGATGAGTACGTGACGGAGAAGGGGTTCCAGCCCACACTGCCGGGAGAGTACACGCGCATCTCCAGCGCTCTGGCTCTCTTCAGGGCAACCCGCATCCTCGCTCGTGTCCTGGACAAGGTGTACCCTGCAGCGGCAAGCTATGACCTGTCGCTACAGCAGATTAGTGCCTTTGAGGCTGAGTTGGACGGCTGGTACGATGATCTGCCAGCTCATCTGAGACTCAACTTTGCTCAGGGCAAGCCGTCGCGAGATGTCACTGGCAGCCGGTCACCTCTACTGGTAAGTTCAAAGAGTGATAAATACTAAAGATGCGAAGGGACTAACAAAAACGGCACACTAGGCACTCACATATTATTATATTCGCACTCTCATCTATCGCCCCGTCGTTGGCTCGAACCTCGGGCCCAAGGCTGCGCCTGCGCTGATTTCCATCAGCGAGTCCAGCAAGCACATTATCCAAATCTCACAGCTTCTTGAGGAGCGAAGCATGTCATTTTCCTTCTGCATGAACAAGTGTGATCTCCTCGCCGTCTGCGCCCTTACTCTTCTCTACCAGGCTATTGATCTGAAGCGTGACAGTAAGCTGTTGCGCGAGGATGAGCGTCTGGTCAACGATGTCCTTCAGACTCTTCGCAAGAACCAGTCGCCTGGATTCGTAGATTTGGAACGAGCCGCGAGTGTGCTCATCACCGTTACTGACCCCTCAGGGCCGGCGGCGATGAACAAGCACGTCCGTAAGCCGTCGGTGGCGACCGGATCCCGTCGCGCATCACCCCCGACGAGCTATCCCAAGCAACAAAACTCCCCGCCGCTGGGCCAATTCCCGACTTCAGCAAGCGATACTGACCTGACGCGACACCAAGACAAAACTCGCTGGATGGGCAACATGGCGGGCCTCCAAGGTTCCAACGGAGAGGTTCAACCGGCCTCGTCTCGCCAATCATTTGATGGCCACCGACAGGAGCGCCAGCACTCGGCGTCGCGGATGTCCAGGCTTTCCCCGAACGCGCAGGCAAGGCAGAACCTCGACTACCTTTCGCTCAACGACACTCCTTTCACAAACAAACACGCCACATCTCCCCCAACCAGCATGCCGGCACAGACGGTGGGGATGCAGAACAACGGCCAGAACTTTATGAACAACGGACAGCAAGCCAAGACGCCCAACATGACTGGTGCCGACTGGGAGGCGCTGGTCGGGTCCATGGACAGCGGAATGAACAATGTTTATGACGTGATCTACGGAGGCGCCAGCATCGAAGCTGCCATGGCGGGACACTCGACGGGCAGCGAGTGGTCGCCAGATTCATGGGACTTGAGCAACTTCAACATTGGTGAATTTGGCAACAACCCGGCGCCGCCGCAGAGCGTGCTCAGCATGAGCGACGAGAGCCTCAGCTCAGGAGAAGAAGTGTCGCCTTCAGAACTGGGGCTGGGCCTCGGAAGCATTGACTACGGAAAGCAGCTGCAGGGGGCCAACTACCACAACGGCGATGGATTTTCAACAAACGGGCTGCACGGGCTGTCTTTGTGAATAATGACATGTTTTTTTAGGCGCTATGGTGTGATGTGATGGCGAAGCGAGAGACAACTTGGTTTCGTCTGGAATATGCTGCTTATCGATGTAACGTTTTTGATACATACCTTTATGTTGGGACGGCGCACATGGCGGAGCGATATGTTGAGGGCTTTTTTTTTTCTTGAAATTTTGAATTTTTTTCTGCCTGCTATGACTCGGAGACCAAAAGTGGCTACAAGGCTGCCACGGGGATATGAGGGATTGCCTGCTATTGGTGAAATGGACGGATGGATGGACGGAGATGGACAGTTTTGAATATTTCCATTACATGATATTTCCAATACACATGGTCTTTTTGAATAAGCAGTATCACCGGTGTGACGATATTTGCAGAGATTTTAACTTGATTTACCTATTCGACGGCATCTTATCTTGGTGCTATAAATGGTCGAAGCACTAACATGCGGCATATCAAGGGATTACCCACCTGCGATACGGCATTGATATTAATATCCATTTGATCCTTGACCTGTCCGAGAACTGCACATGCAAAAAACCAGTTTGCCCTGATGCGTTGAAACTCATTCCATGCTGGATTGGGAATAAGGCGACGGAGCTGACTGACCAGCCCGCCACGATCTTCTTTAGCACTTTCGGCACGTTGCGCAATATCTGGACCCTACTCGATAGTGGATGAAAGACCCCTTCTGACCCTCTCTGGCGGAGCCCTAAAACGGCTGCTGGGAAGCCGGTGACTCGCAGCGGCTGTGCAGGCAGCTTGAGGGATTAGGATTAGGGGAGTGGGAATTGAAATCAAATGGATGCGCTGCCGGGAGTCATTTTAGCGGTCCACACAGCCTTGTAACGTAGCAGCTCTTGTCAAGGTGAAGATATGTGGAATTGTTGCCACATGCACATGGCCATCGGTGCTGTGATGAAGTTTTTTTTTTTTTTCTTGGCCGTGGCCTTATTATCGTGCTTATACTAGCAGGCGTGGATCCATTCAGCACCTTGGGATTTACACTCCCGCAAACTAAGGTGCTTATCAACGGACGGCTAACACGTCAACGGTTATCAATATGCGTATTACTTGGCCACGGCAGCACGCCTATCAATCAAAAAAAGGGTCCCGTTCCAGGTGGCGACACGACAGGCACCATGTTCAGGGGAAAAGAGGGTCATGCGAGGCAGGCTGGTGATGGGGAGTGGCCTCATGAGCTTTTGGTGTGAGTAGAGTGTATGCGAGATTTGATTTGATGGGTGTATTTTTTATACTTTCTCGTGGTCTGAGTCAAAAACAGGATGGAGCTTTTTTTTCAGGTTTGATACGGTAGTAGTTTGGGAGATAGATATGAGATGATGGATGGATACCGATAGGTAGGTAGGTAGAAAGCTGCGATACAAAAACGAGGAGGCACTCTCTTTCTCTCCTTCTTTCCCTCCTCTTCTCTTCTTTCTTTGTGCTTTGTTAATTTGCTAGTTACTGGTCAAAACGACATAATAGCCTGATACTAGCAAAAGACAAAAAGAAATATACAGAGGAAATAAAATAGCCGGCTACACACACACTGCAAACCAGGGCGGTCAGGCTACCTTAACCTACGGACTCCGGACTTCACCTGGACTTATATCCGCCCAATCGAAGGCGGCGTGACGAACACAAGCAGCCCTCCAAGAAAGTGGTGGCCATTTGACTAAGGGAAAACGCCATCTCTTCTTCCTCTCTCTTTTCCTGCTTCTTTTCATCGAAATTGAATAGGAGAAAGATAGAAAGCTTAGATTTATAGAATTATTCTTTTTGAAAATGACCGCTTCGGAAAGGCAGCCTCTGATGAGTCGCTTCCACTGCGGCATCACCGCCCCCAAAGGTACGTACCTCTAACTCATTCCTTTGAACCATCCGGGTTTCCGAGTGTAGAAATCCTTCCATACTATTCACACATCGAACCCTTTCTCGGAATTCCTCAAGACAGGGGGGAAAAAAAACAAGAAAAAACTAACTTGTTTATCTGCTTTCCAGCTGCGAAATGGGCCTCTGCAATCGTCTCGCGCCGTGATCCCTCGCGGTTCATCCCGCAGACCATCGCCCACCGAGGCTTCAAGGCTTCGTTTCCCGAGAACAGCATGGCGGGGTTCCGGGCGGCCGTCGAGGTTGGCGCCCATGCGCTGGAGACGGATGTGCATCTTTCCAAGGACGGCGTTGTGGTGTTGTCACATGTAAGTTGATTTTCTGACGATGATGAATTCGATGAGATGAGATGAGATAAGATGAGACGGAGATGGATGAGAGGAGATGAATGACTTCAAGAAAGAGATGAGGAGAGTGAAATGGACACCCCGGCTAATAGGCAAATTCATAGGACCCTTCGCTCAAACGATGCTTTGGCGTCGATCTCCTCATCAAGGACTGCACCTGGTCCTATCTATCCAGCCTTCGTACTCTCAAGGAACCCCATGAACCGCTACCTCGGCTGGTGGATTTGCTAGAGTATCTGGTGTCTGGGCCGGAGACGGAGAAGATTTGGGTCTTGCTGGATATCAAGGTAGGCGTGGAATCTATGAATCAGAAATAGAGACAGGAAGAACATCTGCTGATATCGTGAAATCTTGTTAGATCGACGACAAGCCCGAGGATCTGCTGCGAGCCGTCGCATGTACCTTTACAGAAGTATCATCCGCAACGCCATGGGACGAACGCATCATTCTCGGATGCTGGAACGTAAGTCCTCCTCCTACTAACTCATCATCATCATCATCACCATCATCACAAAAACTAACAAAACAACAACACACAGGCCACATTCATGAAGGCCGCCCTCGCCTTCCTCCCCGGCTTCCCCCTCGCCCACATCTCAACCTCCCTCTACTACTCCCGCCACTTCCTCCCCATCCCCAACCTCGGCTTCAACATGTTCCAGCTCCTCCTCGTCGGGCCCCTCGGCGGCTGGTTCCTCTCAAAGGCCAAATCCGCCACCCGTCCCGTCTTCGCGTGGACCGTCAACAGTCCCAAGTGGATGGAGTGGTGCATTCGCAAAAACATCCCCAGCACTCCTCCTTCTCTCCCATCAGCCTCATCTTCATCATCGGCCTCTTCCCTCTCAGTAGACCCTAAACTCGACTCCTCTATTCCGAACCCAGTCCTCATTGACGGCGTCATCACCGACGACCCGAGGCTCTTCCTGCAGGTCTGCTCCCGCGTCGAGGATGACCTCGACGGCAAGACGAAGTCCTCCTCCGCCGTCACCGGCCGTCCGAATCTTAGTGTCGTTCTTGGCTCGCTGACTTCCGGGCTTGGTACTACCTGCGGCATCCTCTTCATCAACGTCTTCGCCACGAGCTTCTTCTGGTATAGGCGGCTTCAGGGCAGGGTGGACAAGTTTGACGTTGGCTTTTTCAAGAATTTCCAGACTTGAAGCGTTCAGGAAATCCCAATATTAGCTATCCTTTTCATCTTTTTTTTTTCTTGGTCAAGCGGATTTGGTTGGATTGCTGTTAGAAACGAGTTACATCTTCTCCTTTTTTACATCCTCTTGTTTTTGGTTCAGATCCTTAATGATCATTAGACAGACTGCAGACTCATATCAGACACATAGATAACGCAGGACATAACGGAACAGCACATACTTTTTTTCAAGTCATTCAGAGTTAGGAATATACCATCTACGTTTGTTCTTGTCTATATGCCTGACCTCCGCTTGTTCTTCCCCTGAGAAGCTCAACTCATAATAAACGCAACCTCCTCTCACTTGGCAGCAAAGGGGGATACCTGTAGTAATCCTGCCAAAAAAAAAAAAAAAAAAAAAAAAAAGAGAGATATCGAAATTCATTCCATTCCATTCCGTCCAACTCCAAATATGCCCGCCGCTCTTTTCCACTAAACCCGCTTCTCCTTTTTTTTTTATTGTATCAACACCTCATCAAATAAAAAAGGAGCAATACCAGGTAAAATTAGAAAAATAGAAATGAAGAGTGGATTTAAAACATGAATCAGGAAGCCTGCCTGGCCAGCTTAAGCGAAAAGGCGCAGCTCAAATTTCTACGTCAATTTCCAGATCCAGCGCCCCAATAACGTCATCATCCATGATGGGCTTGTGAATAGTCGGCAGGCCTTTAGTTTCGGAGTAATGCTTCTCTTGCAACTTGGCCAGGTGCGGCAGCATCTGGGACGATGAAGGGCCCTTAGTCCCGTTCGTCGCTGCGCCCGCGCCGTCCTTTGGAGCCTCCGGCTTCTCGCCAACCTTTTCGTTGACGTCGTGCACAAACTTGGCCTTTGTTCGAAGTCGTCGCGAGTAGTCTTCTGAAATGACCTCGCCGCGCTTGAGCGCCATCTCGATTTCTCGCGCCTTTGCCTTTTCTTTCAGCTGAGCCTTTCGGACTGCTTCTTGATTCAGGCGGCGATTCTCTCGGTTACGCTCCGCCAGTCTGTCTTGTTCTGACGACGCCTTGGTGGCCTCTGGGTTTTTGGATGGGCCCAAGCTTGTCTTAAAGGCAAGGCGCTCCCTGCCGAGCTTTTCTAGCTCTTCTTGCAGCTCCTCGGCCCTTTGATCGTCGCCTCGTTGGGCAGCTTCCTCGGCAAGATTGGCAAGTCGTTGGCGTTCCTGTGGATCAAATCGTTTACGAAGCTCGTTGCGCTTTGCCAGTCTGGCCTTGATCTCTTCATTCGTCCATTTGTGGTTGATCAACGCATTGATGTCATCAATCTTGTCTACCAGGAAATCTTTCGTAGGCAATGTGACGCCATCATTGTGGCATGTTACTTTGTACCGGTTCAGTTCACCCTGCAAGTTGAGACTGTCAGCACAATTCTTCACACATGGGGAAAAGGGGTAAGATGGAAGATCATACCTCTGTGAATTGGCCACCTGACGCCGCAATAAAGGGAAACTCCTTGACGGCCTTGCCGTGGGTAGCCTTGACGTATTGATCAGTGACAAACGAGCCTTGAGGGCCATTTAGAGCGTATGGTCTGCCGGTTGTAAATCCTACAAGAAATCATTAGCACTTGTAGCGAACATATGACATCGGGATCAGACAACTTTACCTTTAATCAGGGCCATGCGATATTGCTCAATGCCTGTTTCAGGGTGGGCCCCCAGAGCGATGCGGATGTAGCACCCCGTAATGGCCGACTCGAAGCCAGGAGTAGAGCACACCTGCGCAAACTCGTTGCGACCAAGGCGGACTCGGTCGAAATCGCGAAGCTCGGGTGGCGGCAGCTCCCTAGCAGCAGCCTTCTCCGGCGAGCGATTGCGCGACTGTCCGAAGTCATCGTCGCTCTCCTCCGGTTCTCTTGATTCGCGGCCATGCGGTGACATCCCATCCCTCCGCCTTTCTCGGTCCTCCTGCCGTCTTGCTTTCTCGGCGCGCGCCCTGCGAAGGGAGTCAATCGCCGATTCGCTGCCTTTGCCCGTTTTCGGTCTCGATGCTCTACGAGCGCCATCCTCGAGTTCGGTATCAGCGCTACGCTTCTTCTTAACCTGCTTGCGCTCCTCAATCTCGACGTTGTTGACCATTTGTCGTAGCAGGCGATTCTGACGCTGACGCTCTATCTCAGAGATTCGATCCGCAATAATCTGCTCGCGCTCTACTTCTCGCATGGCCATGATCTCAGCCTTTTCGGCCTCGCTCATAAACATGCCGTCAACAGGATACTTGTCATCGTCGTTGGCCCCCGGGGCAGTGGTAGAACGGCTCGCGCCGTGCGCAGGCTCGGTATCAGAGTCGGACTCGTCCATCGAAGCTGATTCCAAGGAGTTGTGTGAAGGGGCATCGGATCTAGAGAGAAGAAGATGAAAGAGTCGCACGTTAATAACTGTCCGATGAACCAGCAGTAAGGGGGCGTTTGCCAATGTGAGCAGCAACTGAGGAGCCAGGACAAACTATTGTTCTCCAAACGGCTCCCAGCTGCCAGGCAGCACAATAGAAGTAGAGACTATTCACTTACGCCTCACCCTCGTCTTCCGACTCATCCTGCTTTGACCTTCGCTTCGATTTGGTCTCGGGTGACTTGGGCATCTCGTCGTCTGAGGCTGGTGGCGGCGACGCCGACGCCTCTCTGCTCGCGCTCACAGATCCCTCCTCATCCGAGTCACCGCCCGCAAGAGCAAGGAGCTCGTCGTCGATATCAGCCATGATGAAAATCGGCCGTGGCCCCTGTCGTCAATGGCCTAGAGATGCTTCTCAGGGGGGAAGAGCGGTGGCGAGAAAAGTCCGACGAACGTCGCAGAGGAGTTGGGAGGGCAAACGCGACGGCGCTTTCAGTTCCCAAGCCAGTGGCTTGATTTGACACCCGGATAGAATAGATAAAGAGGGCGAGAAAAAAAATGAAGATTGTGCCAATTCGATTCCAGCGTATCGATCCGATTGGGCCTCGGAAGCACTGAATGCGCACAGCAAGTTGGGGACCTGTAGAGCAAAGGAGGAAGAGAGAGGGAGAGAGAGAGATTCAGCACTCGCAGCCAGCCTTTCCACTGTCCACCACTAAAGCTGCTCGCTACAGTATTGCGCTTCGCCTGGGCAATTAACGCGACAGCGGCTCAACGCGGAAAAGCATTTGTCCGGGTCGGATGTAAACCGGCCAATCGGCAGTCTTACCGGCTGCAGGCCCCGTCTCAGCAGCTCGGCATCATGCTTGCATGGTCCGAGTTCGAAAAGTCAATGATGCGGCGATAATACCCGCTGTTTATTGTTTATTGGTGATGCCATAACTGAAGGCGGACATCAACACACATTCTTTGAATATTTTTCTGGCTTCAATCTTTAATTATTTACAATGGCGTCAATTCGTCTGGCCAGACCGGCCGGTAGCTTCTGCAAACACCTAATTCCTGCTGCATCTCGTCCTCTCTCCACCAGCGCGGCCCTCCGAGCTACCACATCATCAACTCCCGAGAGCTCAGCCTCCGACTCTCCAAAGAAGCTCAAGCCGCTCACCCAAGAGCAGCGCGACTATCTCTCCTCCGCTGTAAGACCTCGCCCACCAGCAAGCACATACTCATAGCAATAAATCACCCAGCTAACCAAGACATCATCCTCTACTCCAGCTCCGAGTCAACCAGGCCGGCGAACTCGCCGCAACCCTCATCTACTCCGCCCAGAGCCCCATCATCGTCCGCAAGCACCCTCACCTCCGTCCCCTGATGGCTCACATGTACGACCAAGAGGCCGTCCACTTCTCAACCTTCAACAGTCTCATCCACAAGCACCGCGTCCGACCCACGGCTCTCTACCCGCTGTGGTCCGTCCTCGCCAGTGGCCTGGGCTGGTCCACCGCTATCATGGGCCGCGAGGCCGCCATGGCCTGTACCGAGGCCGTCGAGACTGAAATTGGCAATCACTACAACGAGCAGATCCGCTCCATCTTGGAAATGATCGCTGAGTGGGAGGCACAAGGATACGATGTCAGCGGCGAGATCAAGCAGCTGGTAGACACCCTACGTAGGATACGAGACGAGGAGCTAGAGCATCTGGATCATGCGGTGGAAAACGATGCCAGAAAGGCAGAACCCCATTGGCTATTGACAAACGTCATAAGGGCCGGCTGTCGTGGCGCGATATGGGTGAGCGAAAAGGTATAATTACCATGAATAGGCTTGCAGCATATTGTGCGTGTAAAAATAGTGCTAGGTATATATTATAGGTGTTTTGTGTAATATTATATATGAATCCATTATAGCCATAGGAAAGCACAAAGTTGAATGAGCCTTTGGCAGGTCATGAAAGTCTAAGACGACAGAATGGCAACGCTAGGTTGAATGGCTTTCAGTTTCCCCTTTTCCACGGTAATCAGTGTTCCCCGTTGTATGCAATGACTTCTCTATCCCGCTGAAATACATGAAAAATTGAACCACCCCTTCATCACTCACTGTACCGACCCATGAAGTAAAACAGGAAAATAAAGGTGAGAAAAATCGATTAATTACTGTAATGTGGTTAGCCTCGCCTCTTTTAGATATAGATCTGTTGACGCATGTCACTTACTAAATGGTAATAGGAGCCACTCCATCTACCTGGTAACCCCAGTTACCATTGTGCTCCTCTGTAAGTAGCCAATCGTATGGGAATTCGACTAGGTTTCCTTGCACCATCTCCAAGAGCTGCTCAGCCTCGACACGCGATGGCATTTCTTCAATCAAGAGTCCACGGCGGCTCCCCTTAGTGGTGGCTCGGCGACGACGCTTGACTGGTGCACTAGCAGCTGGCGCCAGAGGAGGAGCAGCATTAGTATCCCTGGATGACGGCTTCTCCAGGGTCGAGAAAGTCGGTCTACGGTCTCTGCTTTTGCTTCGCGAGACTGGCTTTGATGGAGAAGTGTCCATTGTAGGGAACGGCACTTCTCCTGCAGCATAAACAGGTGAGGGCGGTTCTAACGAGCTCTGGTTGTCTGTTGCTCCATCGGCAGGCGGAGGACGGAGAGCCAACTCTTCTCCGCTGCTGCCGCGTGAAGCCGGCTTCTCGTTTTCGTCGTCGCCGTCGCCCTCGGGCAGCTGAATCTTAGGTTGGTCGCTATGCTTTGGAACTGCTGCCTCGTCACCAGGGGTGCGCTGCCGGCTTGCCTCAGTTTCGTCAGTGGCAGATTTCCCCTCCATCATAGCACGGAACTTGACGCTGTAATCCATATATTCGCGGTATTCAGCCCAAGTGCCGACTTTGGAATCAGGCATGCAACGGAAAACTCTACGATAGAGCACTGTATTGTTGCGCGCAGACCGACCCCAGATTTCGTCCACAAAGGTGGGATCTAACGGATCTTGCATACAGTCCTTATCGATGAGAGCGGGCAGGATATCTGCAGCCAACGGATGGAACGGCTCGTTTGTTGGACGGCCTGTCTTGGGATCGATATGCGCAGGAGGGCCACCAATGTTTGTATCGTCAAGGACGGGCAAGGGCACCGCTGGTGCAGCTGAAGCCAGGCCAGGCTGATCAGCCGCATCTGCGCCATTCCTGCTAGCTGGGGGAAGAGGTGCGGTCGAGGTACCAGGCTCATCATTATGATTCTGGTGTGAATTGTGGTGACGGCGTGAAGTGGGAGACTGAGGGGCCTGGTGTGTCCCTGAGATCCGCTTCCCATCGTGTAAAAGGACCTCACGGCCATCAACTATAGCAGAATCTCGACCCTCATCTGTGCCCGACTTTTCTGCCGACTTCCAGTGGTCTGGGCCATACCCTGACAAATCCAACTGATGGCCCTTGTCAGTGACACGAGGGTCGGTCTCGGGCTCTTCTCCTTTCAATGAAGAGGAGTCAAGGTCTTGGGTGGCCTCCACTGTTGCCAGATCAAGATCATGGTTGAAGCTAGGCAAACGAAGATTATTAATTGGCAGTGGTGCACTCTTGGGGCTGGACATTTCGCCGACAGGCGTCGCGTCCTCCTCGTATATAGCGTCCATGTCCTGCTCAAAGGCGGCGTCTTCCATTTCCTCTGCTTCTCGCTCCTCCTCTAGGATTCCATCCACGTCGAGGCCAAGATGCTCTCGCATCAACCTCATCCGAAGAGTGTGGGCAAATCGGCCAACTCGGTAAGGCTTGCCGGCCATTTTGGACCACAACATGTCGGTGTCACGGACTATGGCGGCAACTTCTGAGTCTCTGCTGCCAAGCAAAGACCGTTCGTTGATATTCGCAGAACCAATCAGCGCAATCCTGTCGTCTACGACGATGGCTTTGGCATGGATATAGAGTTGCTCAGTTACAAGAGCCTCATTTCCCATTACTCCCCATTGCCGGAGCGAGTAAAAGTTAATATAGTCCTCGGGCTCGATGCCTGCGGCACGGAGGCGTCCAAAAATGGAGTTCTCTCCGCGGCAGATGCTCTTGTATTGGCACATGACAATCAATCGGACGCTGGTTCCTTCTTGTTCATCAACAGTGTTCTGAAAGCCGGGCATGAGAGGTATGATGATCACGCATCTCCAGTCTTCGCCATTCTTATGAGCACGAATGATGCGGTCAACCAGGGCATCTCCGATACGGTTGACGATCTTTGCGCCATATGCCTCTGTGCTCGTAATAAAAAACTGGTTCTCGATGTAAACAAAATGTTCGGATTCTTCAATCATGTGGACGTAGGCGGTTTGGATACTGTGTTCGGTATCATCAGTGCCCAAAGACCAAGTTGACGCGGACCGCAGCATTTGCACTTCACAAGTGCCTGTCAGCCCAAGAGCCTCGAGGTCTTCAAATTTCGCATCGGGAGGTGGCAACAAGAATGGCAGTGGTCTAGTTGGCTTTCGCCCTCGGCGAAGATAGTTCCACCGCTGGACAAAATGGCGAGTCAAGTCTCGGGCAGGCTGTCCGACGACCTGCATGGAAATGTCGTGCCATGGCATTCTAGGAACCTTGCCTCGGTCGTACATTTCCTCATACGGCTCGTGCAGGTTGAAAAAGTCCTGGACTCTCGGATTTGAATAATCTTTTCCGGGGAACAGCTGTACGTGCTCAGAGTCCTTGGGCATCTCGGATGGCTCGAATCCCGTCGGCTTATCGTCGACAATAGGGTGTTGCGGGCTGTCCCAGCGACCAAAGCAAAGGTCTATACCACCCAGGAACGCTACGTCGTGATCGACAATGCAGATTTTTTCGTGGTGAGCAAAGAAGAACTGGTTCTTCTTGAACTGGTTCGGGGATCGCTGAACAAAGATGTTTGGATGAAGATTGAGAAGCGAGAATTTGGTGTATTCGGAATCAATTGGGATGGCTGCTTCGACATTTCGATAGACAATCACAAAGACCTTGACGCCTTCTCGTGCTTTCTTTTGGAGTAGTCGATCCAGTCGCCATTTCTGGCTAATACACGCAGGTCGGCGCATATAGAGCTCGGGGCTCAGCCACCAGTCATGAATGTAGATGACGTCCCGCGCCATATTGATGGCTCTCGACACATTCCACATGTAATCACGCCCATCGACCAGCCACTGGGCAAAGACGCCAGACCGAACTGGTGCAAAGCTGTCAAACCGCTTCTTCTGGTACCAAAGTGTCTGCTTAAGCATTTCGTTGATTGAGTCCTCAAACTGTCGCATCACAGACTGGTAGCGCGAGAAGAGTCGGATTTTACGATCCGAGGTGCGCATTTTCAGCGTGTGGTGTTTCTCGGGAGATGGTTCCATATCCATTTCATCTTCGGCCTTCTTCTTCTTCTTGGAGCCAATATTTTTCAATGCCTTCCTCTTAGAAACAATGCTAAACTTGGTGTCGACGAGATAAACATCATAAATGTTCATGTTCTCGGGCGATTCCACACACACAATGTAACTCTGCCTAACGAGAAACCATTTTCGGCTGTGTCGAGCAATGACTTTTGCCGGTGTCAAAACACGGCGGAAATCGAGACCCTTTGACATTTGGAGGTGAAGGTAGCCCTCTTTCCCATGGTAACTTCCTTCGGCAGCCAGACGAACACCCAGGGCCGACAATTCAAGGAATCGACAAAGGCGATTGCTGTCAGCCCTAAACATGAGCCATCGAATCATCTCAGAGAGATACTTCTCCAGAATACGTCTTTGCTTCTCCACGTAGCGTAGCCTACGGGCCTCTTTATCGAGGCCAGCATTGCCTTCAGCCGTAGACATTTCACCTGCATCGGTGAAGCCGGTAGATCTTCGCCGCATGCCGAGGAAATTGCCACGGGACTTCTTTCTTGAGTGCTGAAAGGGTCCTTCACCCATATCCTCGGCAGCCGTCATCTCAGCAGCAGTCTCTTCGCCACGGCCGCTGGCCTGATCGGCCTGTTCATCGTCCTCACTTTCGTCTCCCTTGTTGCGAGCACCACGAAGGTAGGGGAACGCCGAATAGGGGAACTTGGGCTGCTTGGGACGGCCTCCGAGATCTTTCCCGAGCATGTATTTGTCGTTGTTCAGGGCAAATTTGTACCGGAAATGTAGGTTATAGATGTCCCTGATAGTTCTGATAACCAGCCAGTTCATTCGGCTCGGGCCGCTTCCGTACTCCAACTCGATTGTGAATATCCAGTGGCGCTCTTTATCATCATCCGGCATGGGCGCGCTGTCCTTGATCTTGAGCTTCAATTGCTCCAGTAGGACTGGGATCCTCTTATTCCCGTGCTCGTCCCGCTGAATCATGCTAGCGAGCATCAGAACAGCAGGTGCACCGGCTCTCAACTCGGCCATTAGTTCTGCAGATTTGTAGTAATCAAAACGATCCTCCTTCTTTTGTCGGAGCAGCTTTAGTGTACTCTTGACCTGCTTCCATTTCTGGGCGCCATAACTAGAGGCTCGCTCAGCTCGCTCTGACGTGAAGAAATGCTTCCTAGGGGTCAGCGCATCTCCGTCAGACATGCCTCCACCACCAAAGACAGTGATGCGTCGCGTATGACCGTTGCGCCGCCCGACGGCGGTAGAGTTGTCCAGATCCTCTACATCTTCATCCGGGGGGCTCATTGTAATATTCATCCAGGAATAGCCCCGTCTAAAGGGCTTTCGTCTCTCAGGAATCTCGCCATCAGACACAGCATGATCGGGCTGTGTCGTATCGGGCATGCTAGCCCGGCGCCTCAGCAGGCGATCATATGTGCTTAATGCATCTGGGTCGGCTGGAAACCGGCTGAGGTTTGGGAAGTTAGACACAGAGCCCTTCTTGAAGCGCCGGCTCTTTCGCTTGTTTTTCTTAACAGCACCAGGTATGGCGGCCTCATCTGCAGTTTCGACATCGGCATCGGCGTCAGATTGCTCTTCATTGAGAGCTTCCGGAATTCGAGTCGTTACTCTAGAGGCTGTAGGAGAGTTGGGGAACGATTGCGTGCCGAAATCGGATGGAAACGTCGGTCCATTCAGAGATTTTGGAGTCTGAGAGCCGGTATTGGCTGTAAGGGCTTTGATCTTGGACATGAGGCTTGTTCGGGACCGGGTCGGCGTATCAGGCTCTTCCAAAGGCACCGATCCCGGGGGTTGGAAATCAGGTTCAGCAAACTGGATGGTACGTCCTGCATCTGCCTGTAAGGTCTCTTGGGTACTAGAATCGAGTCCGGCCGGTATGTCTTGCTGTTTTGGTGGTGGCGGTGATTGGGAATTGGGAATTGGTTCTCCAGCAGCTAATGGATCGGGATGGCTCAACCCGCTATTCCAATAATCGTTGGCTGCTTTGGGGGAGGCTTCTTCGCCCAGTTGTTGCTCTGACGTATTGGGAGTTGCGGACAGCAGGCCATCGTTCGACTTTGGCGGCTGAAATCGGGGCTGTGATTCTGCGTTTGCTGGAGAGGGAGCGTCGGGAGTCCTCGTCATTGGCGAGACGGACTCGTCTTTATGTTCGGGAGCCATGGCGGCTTGCCAACAGCTCGAGGTTGGGAGAAGTAGGTCGGGGTCGTATGTGAGTTGTTAGGTGGCGGGTTTGGGGGTGGTGGATGGTGGATGTATATGTGGACTTGTGGTTTTACTACCAGAAGGTCATCATCGAACGCTGGAGCCACTGGGAAAGAGAAAATATCAATGGAAATTCCACAGCCAAATTGCAGTCCCGTCACGCAACCAGACAACCAGTGGGATGATGATTGTCGGGTGTGGTTGGAGGTTTTGCACGCGACGTTGTAGCTGCCGCAGAGGCCGAGGCGGAAAAGGGAGGGACGGTCAAGGCTCGTTGCCCCAAAGAAACAGAATGACGGCTGAGCAAACAAGTATCGTAGGGCATGTGATGAAGTCGAGATTGAATGCCGTAAACGAAGGAATAATTAACAATCCCACGAACAGCAGTAGCCGATTCACGTGGGGAAGAGAATGGTTGAGGCAAGCTCTTGCTGTTGCGCGGTGGTGACGATAATGACCGAATGACCACCTCCTTGGATTAAGTTGGTGGCAGGGGGCCTGGGGCGTTATCGATTAAGGCACGTTAGCGGTATCTTCAGCACCACCAGGAGAGATGCACGCGCCACATGGCAGGCTGTAGCACCTGGGCTGTACCTAAGGCAAGGTTATGTATGATGCCACCCATCCATCCAATACTTGATGAATTGAATACTAATTTGTATTACAATATACAGAGTCAATACTTTACACAATCCTCTGTTCTGCTGCAAATGCATTCTGGCATAATTACACGCTGCTTTTTCCTTTTCTCCTCGAGATTCCTATCATGAAGACCCTCTCATCAAATCGCCCGTACCAAGGTACCAGACAGGCCTAAAATACATTTTTACTTTCATCATTACCTGAGCGGCTTGGAATGCAGCACTCTATAATGTGGGAGCTTCCATAGCAACACCCAACCAGGCACCGTCCGAAAAGTTTGATTCAATTACCACCTCCCAGCCAACGCATAGGACCTCAGCACCACTAGGTAGTTATACCTGTGATATAATAGAGGCCTGTAATACATGCATTAGTTGAGGTATAATAAAACCTTGAAGTAAGCAATTACGGCTACCGGTTACGGTGGCGCAATTGTCTCTTCATTTATGACCTGCAATACGAAGTAAAATAGTGTAGCTTAGCAGTAAGGGTAAATTTACATGTAAGTGAGCGTATCGCAATAGGAATGAGCCTACTGAGAGATGTCGATATCGATGAGGATATTAACAGAGATATGATCTCATAGATGGCAGGCATTTACTTACAACCTTGGACAAGAGACAGCAAGATTGCATTCCTCTTAATGACCATTCTGTTCAGCCTGGATACATGCAGTGCTTTTCTTACATTGGGGCTCCCGGGTGATTGTGCTGATTAACAAGGTTCGAAGAATGGAGGCCGAGAGGGGAATAGAAACTCAAGATGTCAAGTACATAACAAGGTTTGCAAAAATAGCAGTGATAGGTACACGCTGCGCCATTCGATCAACTCTAGTTCCACAAGATGGAAGATGTGGTTGGGTCATGCAATGAGCTGCAGATGCAGTGTCTGCTCTGCATGGCCGAGGTAGATGAGCTGTTGATAGGTCCAAGAATAAGGCTGATGCTACCATGGCCCACTGGTCTACCAGTCAAGTTGGACTTGGTGTGTAGACTGTGGCATTTAAGGTTAGAACAACATATCCCTAAAATCGAGGATATTCTACAAAATGCAAGACGCGGTAGAATTGGATGATCAGTCATGAGGTTTGTACTATTCCTGCGAGTCATCCTTCTTCCGGACCTGCTGCAAGGTTGCGAGGGGAGAGAAACACCGCTATACTTACCACGCTCTGGCCGAAGACTTGATCTTTTCACCCCCTTTGAGAATAATCAGATCATCGATTTGGCTTTGACCAAGGAGCGAACGATAGTCAGAGGATCTTGTATTGAGTTACGCTTTACGCTTTACAACTTGGGAATCGGCGTCTCTACACTTTGGCCGTTGTAGGACCGCGAACAAACAAACATGGTCTTCCTTAGTTGGGAAGTACGGTGTAGGGGCCATATTATATCTGGCAAGTAGAGCTGGCTGAGTTCTTTGATGAACCCATTCTGACTGGCCAATGTGCATAAGGTATCCTGTTTTAACTCATGTAGGCTCAACTGCTAACTGAGAAATAAGGCATACAGACCATATCTTTACTATCATGAATGAGAAGACGAGTCTCTTCGCAAGCTCTAGGTGATCGATAGGCTGGAAGCCTCATCAAGACTATACTGTCAGGCACATCTTACTCATCCTCGCCATACCACATCTTCAACATAGCATAGTCTACTCAACCAATCCCTTAATGTCACTTAGTGTAGCATCTGTCGATCAAAGTATGAGCACAACGAGTGCATGGTCCGAGCCTTTCCGAGTTAAAGCGATAGTCATGTTGCTCTATTTGCCCCTTTGCAAAAATAAATAAATAGCTCTGCGTTTCTACGTCAATGTTGTTCGTATTGTGTGCAATTTATTACCTGATAGTCTCGTTTGAGACAATCTCACTGCAACTGCAGCAACCCCCTCCCTTCGTAATACGCGTATTGAGCCGCTGTAATCTTACCCTCTGCACCAATTATCTGACACTTTGGGATTCCGATCAAGAGTACGACACAGGGCCAATACGAATACGGCGCATCGCGGCGGAGATCTGGCAAGTAAAGGCGCTAAATGGCGAATTGGAGATCCATAAATCTTGTCCGATACCTCGTCCCGGCCACTTAAACTCAAGGGCCGAGTGAGAATCCCGCGTATTTCCACTGCGGCTATTTAAGCGGAAAGGCACCAGGTACCGCCGCGCGCTAATTTGGCTGCAGAGATACATCTCGGCGCCGCCTACCCCTGAAATCCCAGCTCGAACACCCCCGTCGCCCAGCGAGCCAATAGCGTTACATCACGATCCCAAAAAGTTCCCATCTCTGGCTTCTTCAACGCGGTGCGCGACAGAGCGCATTTTTCTGGTTTCTTGTCTTGTCTCCCACCGCTCCTCGCATCTGTAAGCGCTGCCCGTTCTCGTGGCGTGAGGAAATCAGCGGGCGTGAGTAACTAGCGATCTGCTCCAGAGCTGCTTAAGCAATTCTTCCATCGACACCTTCACTTCGCTAGAAATCTCGACAAAAGGGCAGCTCGTCACCATGGCGACCCGATATTCGCTGCGCCAGACTCCTCGGTAAGTGCAGCAAATGGCTGGTTTGCCCCTGAGATGCGAGATTGGAACAAGGTCGAGATGCTTGGTTACTCGAGTGCTCGGATCGCCTTGAGATCGCATCCCGAAATGATACACGCGCCGCGGCGTCCTGCGAGTAGAGAGGCGAATGCTAACCCCCGCCCAGGAAGAAGGAGCTCTTCGACGGCATGGTTGAGACGCCAAAGAAGCAGTCTTCGCGCGCTCGCCAGTCCTCACAGGCCCCCGAAGCCGCAGACATCGTAGAGTCTGTTGAGCCCGCCGCCCCTCGCGAACGCATCACCCGCCGTCGCACCGCCAAGTTCATCGAGAACTTGGATGAGGACGACATTAAGCCCCTCAATGGCACTGCCAACGGTCACGTAAATGGCCATACCAATGGCAGCGCCAACGGTCACGCCAATGGACATAGCAACGGTCATGCCAACGGCGCACCGAACGGAAAGGATGCGATCCACACAAACGGAAACTCTGAGAGTCACATGGTGGACGGCTGGAAGCCAGGCCAGGATCCCAAGATCGACTACTCGGGCGAGTTTGAATTCGGCGGCTCGATAGGCACCGGGTTCATGATGCTCTTTTTCCCCATCCTCATGTGGTACATGTGGGTTGGCGCCACCTTCTACAACGGCAAGTTCCCTTCTCGCACTCCCGGCCAGAGCTGGGCTGAGTTCGGAACTCATCTGGTCGACCTCGTCTGGACCAATGCATTCCCCCACTCAAAGGCATGGATTTGGTACTGGAGCTACCTCATCTTCGAGGGTGCATGCTACTGTCTTCTTCCCGGTGTCTGGGGCAAGGGCAAGCCTCTTCCCCACGCCGGTGGCAAGCAGCTCGATTACTTCTGCAACGCCTATGCTAGCTTGTACACTACGTTCGCCGTCCTTGGTGCTCTGCACTTCTCCGGCATCTGGCCCCTCTACACGGCCCTCGACGAGTTTGGTCCTCTGTTGTCGGTTGCCATCTGCAGCGGCTTCATTGTCAGCTTCATCGCTTACTTCTCTGCTCTGTGGAGAGGCAAGCAGCACCGCATGACTGGCTACCCCGTCTACGACTTCTTCATGGGCGCTGAGCTGAACCCCCGCATGTTTGGCATTCTTGACTTCAAGATGTTCTTCGAGGTTCGCATGCCCTGGTACTTCCTCCTGATTCTCAGTCTCGGTGCGGCTGCGCGTCAGTATGAGCAGTACGGCTACGTTTCTGGCGAGGTCATGTTCCTCGTCATGGCTCACTACCTTTATGCCAACGCCTGCGCCAAGGGCGAGGAGCTCATCATCACGACTTGGGACATGTACTACGAGAAATGGGGCTTCATGCTCATCTTCTGGAACCTTGCTGGTGTCCCTCTGTCTTACTGCCACTGCACCCTCTACCTGGCCAACCACGATCCCGCCACTTACCGCTGGAACCGTTATGCCCTGGTCGTCATGTACGGTGCCTACCTTTTCTGGTACTGGGTCTGGGACAGCTGCAACAGCCAGAAGAACCGCTTCCGTGCCATGGAGAAGGGAAACCTCATCAAGCGCAACACGTTCCCCCAGGTCCCGTGGCAAACCCTCAAGAACCCCAAGACCATCAAGACTCCTCAGGGCACCATCCTTGTCGACGGCTGGTATGGTCTTGCTCGCAAGATCCACTACACCTCTGACCTTTGGTTCTCCGTCTCTTGGGGTCTGATCACCGGATTCGAGTAAGTTATACTTTCCATGAGACGCACTATCCCACCAAGAGACTCATTTCGCTAACCTTTCGCTTTCTTTTCTACTTATAGGAGCCCCTTCCCTTGGTTCTACCCCGTCTTCTTCGGATGCATGATTGCCCACCGCGCGCATAGAGACATCACCCGCTGCCGCGCCAAGTACGGCGAAGCGTGGCTCGAATATGAACGACAGGTTCCCTATCTCTTCATTCCTGTAAGACTCCCTCTCCTTCCCCTTCTTCCTAGCTCTTTGAGACTTGTCCTAACACAATCCGCAGTACGTCATCTAAGAACAATTCGTTTCGTGACCGGGCTCCGCTTCTCCCGTACATATTAAAGAGTAATCTCTCTTGACAAGAGAGAAGAATTTCTAAATTTTCTTTTTTTCGGCAAAAGCATGTGATAGATATAATACAAAGGGCGACGCAAATGGGCCATGCTTATTCCCCATTCAGACGGGGAGGGAAAAACAACTGGAAGAAAGAAAACTTTGACGGAAAATGTTTTTTTAATAAATGATGTAAGACGATCAGATTGGGATTAGGGATCAAGAATTATCGACAAGACTTAATGTTTGTATCATGCAGTTTTAGGATGGATGGACGCAAAGATATTACTAGTAGCATTAATTAATAGCATATTATATGAAAATGGCGGGCAGAGTCTTGTTGTGATTGCGAATCCTATGTCAACAGGTAAATACAAGAACAGCGGTTTGATCTATTTTGCAGTCCTAGCAAATGATTCTCAATTTATGTGACTGCCTAGGCACTATTTGTCTTAAAGAAGCCTGTTTATACTTGATGATTTATCTCAACTTATGGCAATGCTGTAAAACAGACAGTAATTAAACGCCCTGTGAGATGGAGATATGGGAAATCAAGCTCCTGAAAGAGCATCTTAAGAAAACAAACAATGACAGATAAAAATTGAACATCTGCTTACACTAGACCCTTCACCTTCACCGTCTATGAAGAGAAAATTCACATCAAGAGCAAACGCATCCTGTCACTAGTGTACATATATAAGCCTCCTCCTACCGATCCATTACGCGACCTGCACTGCGTGCGAGGCCATGATTCTCCAATCCCAATCAACACGTTGCTCCATCCAGCACCATCATTTGACCCTGAGCCATCATATCGCAGCACTGACCAGAAACCATATTTCATACCAGATTTGACGACTCCCACAAAAGCAAATTTGTCAAGTTTTTCGGGGTAGCCTCATCTGTCTCGTTCTTCTATGCGCAGACAGCATCCTGGCTGGCCTTGGAGTTCATCAACAGAGCAACAATGAGACCGTACAGACCTGAACAGTAGGTTAGAAATCGTGTTGTTTGGTTTAGTGTTTGGATTAGGAAATGTGCATACCCAAGACTTCGGCAAAAATGAGAATCAGAATCATTCCGACGAAGAGACGGGGCTGTTGGGCAGTTCCTCGGACACCAGCATCACCAACAATACCGATGGCAAAACCAGCAGCGAGACCAGCGAGACCGACAGAGAGACCAGCACCAAACTGAATGAAGCCAGTGTAGAGAGGGAGATCCTGCTTGAGACCATCGGAGATCAGGACGGAAACGACGAGGCCGTAGATACCAATGATACCAGCCATAATAACAGGGACAATGTCTGGCTAGGAGGTTAGCGAGAAGTAGCGCGCATCGAGGATAAAAAGGGCGACTGACTCTTGACGATAAGGTCAGGGCGGAGGACACCCATGGCGGCAATACCAACACCAGACTTGGCAGTACCGTATGAGGCACCCAAGCAGGTGAAGACGATGGCGCAGGTGCAGCCCATGGCACCAAAGAAGGGCTGTGGAATTCGTTAGCGATTTGGTCCAGCATTTCGAAGATGTGACGGTGATTGCTTCGTTGTCATTGAGGATATTTCTCGGTGACGTCGCTGATTAGAGTGGGAACCGTGGGTGTTTACTGACCGCGTAGACGGGGCTATACAATCATCAAGTCAGCTCTAAGTTCTGGAGACGGTACAAAGACGCGGGAGAGGATGCAGATGCGGGAGGTTGCGATGATGCCGAAAGCTCCCAAGGATGCAATCCGAAGCTCCACGACGACGCTAGGGGGGGTTCTCAACGCGCTGACGCAACATACCAAAGTTCGGTGGCCATTGTGACGACGACGAGTTATCGAAGCGATAAAGACTATAAAGAGGCGAAATGAGGAGTGGTTGCTAGTGCTTGTGCGAAGCTTCCGGAGTCTGGCAGATGCGCGAGGGACGCTGTCGATGACTTGGCCTGCTGGGGCTTTAATATGTAGGTGGATGTTGAGATGGTTGAGGGTGCCAGTTCCGACGCCGACGCCTGGTTGGTAAGGTTTTGCTGCAGGCGGATTGCTGGCATTACATAATTCGGAGGCGGATAATTACCTCACCCGTTGGGCCTTTGTTTTGGTTGCTTATCCTAATGGGGCAATTGATTGCAGGTCAATTGGGAGAGCTGAAAGGGCAATCAGTGAACTCGTATTTTGCCAACAATATATGCTGAAAATATGTTTAACATTAAATACTGACGAGAGCTTCATTATTTATTACGATGCCTTCTTTATTAAATATTTTTCTCCTGTGAGTTTAAGCGCCGTCGTCGGTGATACACATCAACAATCGTATTACGCCTCTGAACACGGAACTATAAAGCGGGTGCCGAGCTTCAATACTAAAACTGCTCTGTGCTCCGAACCGAATTGCCCCCTTTGACGCAGCAGCAGTCGATTAAGCAGCGGCTATCTCTCCCTCTCCCTCCTTTCACGAGACGCAATCCATCTACAGCTCCGGAGCACCTGGTCGACAACACTGCCAGATCTGAAAACGGTAGTATTGAGCGATTAGAATGCCAAGTTCGGAGTGCAGATTACGACTCCGCTCCGTGCACGATAAATTCCCTTTAGCACGATAGGATTAGGTTATTTATTATAAGGCAGATTAGGTATATAGATTATAGATATAGATTGTGACGTCCCCAGTCGTATTCTCTCGGTGCAACTCCAAGCTTTGCCTCGTATGGTCAAACTCACTCCAGCGCGTGCTTGTTGCAAAACACAGGTAGGACAGAGAGAAGCTCTGTCAACCAACCGCTTCCCTTTTCCCCTTTCAATTACGTGGTCAATGCATAATATGGAATCGGATGCTAAGTGACAACTTCTCCAGCGGCCCCGTGAGCGTCACGGCTTGAAACTTTGAAACGCCAGGGACACGCGCTGCCCAATGAAAGCCAACTGTTTCCATCTTCATTCATCTCACAACTCTTTCATGCTCACAAAGGGCCGCCATGTCGGCGCTCGCATTGAATTGACAGGCCTACAGTTTATTACTGTACCTAAACATCCAGTCATTGGCAGTTATGGACCCAGAGCTTCAGCCACAACAGCGCCTCCCTGCGTCAACGAAACACTGAAACTAAGGCAAACTGACATTTGATGGAGCCCCTTGCACTGCGAACTGCCGTCCATGGCAGTTGGATCGACACACGCCTCTACTTTTTCTTCTCCTCTGCGTCCCAGTTTTTGTCCAACCTTGCTGTGCCTTTGTTTACGCGCGTTGATCCAGGGGCTTAATGGAGCTGCTTCCCACGTCATGCCTCGGAAACCCGTACAGTGTACCAGCAAACATCAACGTTGCATTCAAACGTTTCCACTGCCGTAGCTTCTCCTTCCTCCCTTTCAATCTAGTACTTAAAACCGTACTCTTCTCTTTTTCTCTTTCGCATCTATTTTATTCTTCCCGCCCGTAATACAATCTGCGAGTAACAAGACGTACCGAATTTACACATTTCGTAACGATGCGTTTCCAATCCCTCTCTCTCCTGGCTACTCTGCCATCCGCCATGGCTACAATGTCCGCCCTCTCGTACTCTGCTCCGCCAGAGCTCCTAGCTCAGGCTCAGAGCCAAAGTAACTGCAACCTCCCCCCAGGTTTTCAGATCAAGGACTTTACGGCCAAGTCGAACGAAACCGGCCCGGCAGCCTCATTGACGGCATATAACTTCACCTTTGTGGACCAGACGACGAGCGTTACCACCAACTGCCAGTTTAACTCGAGCTCTGTTTCCACCACGCCTCCAGGTTTGACGCCTAGGTTTGCCTGCGACAAGAGCGGTATCAGCGGTGTCAAGTTCATCTGGGACAACACGAGAAGGCAGTTGACCATGGTTGAGAGGATCTGCCCTAACACTAGGGGGTATGTTGCATATCAGACTCGTCATGTTATTATAGGCCTGTTAAAGTATACTGACATTTCAACAATTACAGTGTTCCTACGTACGAGGTAGCCGGTACAGCGACCATTTCCTTGTCTTGCCCTTCAACGTCGGGAACTTGCACAACGAATTCGACCAGTATTGATGGAAAGTTCACCGCGCTGGACCCCGTAACAGATCCCACTCGGGTCAAGGTCAAGTACTGGGTGAGCTAGATGCCGAGATGGGACATTAGAAGACGGCGGTATCAAAATTTGGAGTCATTGTTTAATAGATACATTGTATCTACGCATTGGAAGGATACAGGGCATAGACGGATGCAACAGGACATTTCTATTGGCGTTGTATTGTAGACGGTAAAGGAGAAGAAAAGGGCTACTGGAGCCGCCATTAATTATCATTGCTACTATTACCTGTCCATCCACGAGACGTCATTTCTCTACTAACAGATCCATATCATAATGCTATCCGGCGAATGCTGACTATAATCTTTATGAAAATTCTCCAGCAGAGCGGGAGCTGATAGCCCGAGTCAGTCTATATAATGCCGAGGCCAGTCTGCGCGCGGACATTCAATAGTTTCCTCTAGTGGCAGCAGTGGACAAACGAAAAACTACAAATTATCAAATAGTGCCTTAATATCTCTTTACAATAGCACTCGTACCTGCATAAGCATCTAAGCCTCTATTTCTCAGTGAATCAATGATCAACATATTTGTATATTTGGTGCCTCTGGTCATGTTGCTCTCACTGCAGCTTTCTAAGGTTTGATGCCTCATTCTTGTCCACCGCCTGAGGGAGTTAGCCGCCATCCCGTTTTAGCACGTCTCCAGCGCTCTGCCAGCTAACCGTACAGGGCTCAGCGACCCCAGATTTTGCCCCATCTGCAAAGTGCCGCCTGCAAACTTACCTACTTAGCTGCCCTGGCACCGGGCCCCGCCGAATTGTGCATGCCCACCTCGTGATCTCGCCCAGCTTGCCACTGGGTTCATGAGACCAAGTCAGCCAATGTCTCGCCCAATTCACTTCCATCTTGCAAAGGAGCAGCAGCGAATCGTGAGATTACAAAAGGCAGTTCAGCTGGGTGCGCGTCCCCTCTTCGCCAGCGGTTACACCAAAGCTGCTTTTCTCTCGCCACTCAGCGTCTCGCTCTCCCTTGCGTCCTTACGTCAGGGCCGGATCCGAAAAGCATCGCGATTGGTAGCCGGTTTTGTTGAGCTGAGACGAAGCGGCGCTCTCCTTGCTAGCATCTGGGCATTTCTGCCAGCCCCCATGCCGTCTTCCTTCTCCATGATCTGATCATCGCCAGCGAACGAATTTGAAAAATGGGGTGGACATTTCTGGGCCGCTTCGGGCTGTTGCTGCTTGTACAGCTCGCCGCTGCTGTCTTTGTCGAGGCCGCTTACATCAATCAACAAGAACCGTTGGGCGTCAAAGAGCCAGCGGCTGTTTCGACCATCCCCGTGTCCCTGTTCGCGGATCTCGAACGACTGGCGAGGCTCGTTGACGTCTCATATTGCCTCGGCACTACGGGCATTCGCAAGCCGTTCCAGTGCGTCTCTCGATGCGATGAATTCCCCAATGTGACGCTGGCCTCTACGTGGAGCACAGGCTTTCTCTTCGGCGATAGCTGTGGGTTCATCGCAGTCGATCACGGCTCGGACCAGCAGCGTCAAAACGATGTGCTTATAGGAGATGACGAGCAAGGCGCCATCGTAGTTGCGTTCCGTGGGACCTACAGCATCACCAATACCATTATTGACCTCAGTACCATGCCGCAAAAATATGTGCCATATCCGTCGCCAGATCACGGAGGAGAATTACCAGAAAAGCCTAGCCATGAATGCACAAATTGCACCGTACACAGTGGGTTTCTCGAATCCTGGAAGAGCGCTCGAGAATCGGTTCTGCCAGAGCTCAAGGCACTCCGAGCCAAGTATCCGTCTCACCCCATTCATCTCATCGGTCACAGTCTTGGAGGCGCCGTGGCTTGTCTTGCGGCACTCGAACTGAAAGTGTCGCTTGGCTGGGATGATGTGACAGTCACCACGTTTGGAGAGCCTCGTGTCGGCAACTCTGAGTTCGCCCACTTCGTTGACGACGTGTTTGACCTCGACGGCATCATTGACCTTGAAAAGAGGACCTATCGACGAGTTACCCACGCCGACGACCCAGTGCCCTTACTTCCACCGGGCGAGTTTGGTTACCAGTCGCATGGCGGCGAGATATTCATCTCCAAGTCTGCCCTCTCACCATCTGAGACGGATGTCCAGCTATGCGTCGGCGACGCAGATCCTAATTGCAGTGCCAGAGATGACAGCTCGGTGGAAGGTCTGCTCAATCGCCTTCTCCATTTCTGGGGAACGACTGCCTCCTTGGAAGAGTACACTGAGAGGATGAGCTTCCCGGCGCGGTTCAAACTGTGGCAGCTGTTTTTTGCTCATCGAGATTACTTCTGGAGGCTCGGACTATGTGTGCCCGGCGGCGACCCTACAAACTGGGGCCGGCCTCCGTATGCGCCTCATGACGAAGAGTTGTGAAGTCGCGCAACGATTCATGAGCGTTTTGTTTAATAGGAAACTAGTATATATGAGGAGCGGGCTATAATAAGATGGGGGTTGGATATCAATGTCCATTATGGGAAGCAGGCAGAGTACATAATATGGGGCTTGGGGAGCGAGCATAAACATGATGAAACGATACCTACCTAGCTAAGAATTCCTTTAAACATGCTGAATACCATTATCGCATTATTGCTTTTGTTGAAACATATTCTACTAGACAGATCTTATGGCACTGTGAAGGTAATACGCCAAGGATGCTAAGAGTGGATGAAGCGTCGAGAGTAGAGAAATCTCCTCAGACTATGCTTATTTTGCTTCCCTCTTCTCTCATTCGACCAAAGGCGGTATCGGCACTTACAGATACTGCCTTGCCGAGCGTGCAGGCTTCCACATTGATCGTCATTATGTGGAGGGAGGGCGGCAGAGAAATGCTGCTCTGCCATGTGACACGGCCCAGGTATCAACGACACCATGACGATGGGCATCACTGTGCCTCGACGTCCTTGTGCGCTTCAAGGCGTGTACAAGTAGGTATCCAAGGACTTTATAGCATTATATATACGAGTATTAGTTCATACATTAATAGCGGCATCCGCAATTTATTGAACGCCTGGAACCGGGACCACAGGCTCCTCTTGCAGCCAGGATGCTTGATGGCAACTCTAATCAGATCGCAGCGCCAAGGACGGATTCGCAAAGGCAGTTCTGGGCGAATCCGAAATGGTGGGGGTAACTCATAAGGTGTGTGCCGGGAGGGGCATTTGTGGCACCTGTGACTGGTGATTTGCTCGCGACTTGGACGTCCATGAGAAAAAGCTGGATGGGCGGCCGTGATGCCATTGGCCTGCAGAGAATACATCGAAGCCTGTACTGTACTTGTGCGACAGACAAAGCTGTACCGCCACGCGATGGCGATAAGAGAGGAGGGGAAAAGGGGGAGCGAGTGAGTCACGGACGGGAGCTGACCACAGCCACAGCAACGCGTTATTTGCCAGTCTCTCTCTCCCATGTCCATGGCAAAATAGCAGCATGAACGAGAATAGAGCGTCAGGGGGTTGTTGGAGGGGGTAGGCTGTGGCATCATGTGAACAAGCAGAACACACTTGAGTGTCATCCCTGAAGGCCTGCACAGAAGTTTGAAGAAGGATGCTGGAAATCGAGTTTGCCAGTCCAAGGCAAGGCAAAGGCAAGGCAAGGCACGGGGAGGACGGAGACAAGCGAGATACGGAGAAGGAGGTAGGCCATGCATGCATTCCCGTGCTTTGGGACGGATCGGCTGGTGTAGAAAGGGGCCACTAGTCGACTAGGTTGCCAGTACGTGAGAGCTTGGGAGCCGCATCGTCCCTGCAAAGAGCAAGTACGAGTACAATCCAAGCATGTATCATGGACGAGGAGCGTCGATACCTCATGGATATTCTGGTATCCGTAGGAGGGTATACCAGAGATGTGGACATGTGGGTGAAATACAGGCATATAGGTAGTAGCACCCAAGCAAAGCATCACATCACCACGGGTCTGCTTCATGTCTTGATACCAGACCCGTGGCGTACCGCGTCCAAGGTGGAGGCAGAAAGCGGAAGATGCATCAGAGACAAGCGTTGGACCGACGTGGCCAGCGGGGAACGATTGGGAGCAGAAGAAGGGAGCACATGCCTCGGCCGGGGTGTGCCGAAGACACATCCAGCATTCTTGCAGTCTTCATCACTTGCTTCTGTATGGACGGGGAACAAGAGCAAAGCCTCCGTGCGCTTTCTGGAGACAAGCCGCACTAACACGTAGTCGCCGTGTGCTTAGACAGTTGAGCTGTTACTAGCAACGGGATCTGCTGGGACGGACCACTTTGCCTGCTAGCCCCCAAGCGGGCGGGTTTCGTGGGTTCGACTCCATTCCTGGAGGGAGGGAAAGGAAAAAGGAAAACAGCACAGTCCATACGGCGTACTCCGCGTGGTAGTCCGTACAGGTAGGTACAAAGGCAACGGAAATTTTCCTCGTCTCTCTCGAGGCCCGGCGCTCTGTTATCGGAGTGGAGGGAGTGTGGATCGCCAGTCCCAGATGGAACGATGACTGACCGACAAGTCAACGCTGGCTTGAGTCCTAATAAGCCAATTCACAGCCCCCTGGCCACGTTATGACGCCTTTCCGGCAGGCTAGGAGACAAGGCGCTGGTTGGACAGCAGCACCAAGAAGAGAAGAAGACGGACAAACAGACAAAGCAAGATACTAAGGTACCGACAGCTTAGCGCCGAGAGCAGCAAATAAGCTGGACGGGCCCAATGAGGTGATGTGAGAGTTGCCCTTTGATGAGTGTCTCATGGCAAAGCGGGACTCTGATCACTCGGTAACCCTTTTTTTTTCCCGCCCAAAGAACCAGACAGAAGCCCCGCCCTCTTGGCAGCAGGGAAAAGAACAAATAGGGCTGTACATGGCCCGGAGAGTACCTGCAAAGTACGGAGTACCACGTCCATGGAGGTTCAATCGAATTAATGCGTTTCGTCAATACCATCCATACCTTGGATATAACGCCGGCCAACTCAGCATTTCAACCACAGCGTTGGTGCCATTATGTTAGTCCTACCTTGCCTGCTAAACCCGCTTGATAAGGTCGTCGGTAGGCGGTACATGGACGTGAGAGAGAGACGCTAAGAGCCCTCCTCTGGGCGATGGGAAACCAAAGCTTGGGAGAAGGAGATAAAAAAAAAGGAAAAGAAAAAAGAAGAACAGAGCCCCTTACCTGACGTGTTTGTTGTACCGGAGACATTCAGCATTGATGGCAATGCTCCTTAAAGGTACCTGGCAGTCACGTACAAGGTACCAGAAGCTAAAGACAAGTACAGGTAATTAAGAGAGCTTCTCAGCATCAATGCGCCAATTTCCAAGTGCAAATTCCGTGTTTTTATGTGTGTAACAGTTACAGTGGTGCAGCAAAAAAGAGGATAGGGTGAGGGATAGGGCCAAGCTGAAGTGGCAGAAGCTGGATGTGTGTCCATCTCTCGAAGGAGCTGTGCTTTGCCTCCCGATCTGCTCTGCTTGTGGTAGCTCCGGGTACTTTGTACAGCATGTGCACAAAGCAGCCAATATCAAGTACGGAGTCTATACCTGGTAACCAGGCAACCAGTTGTCGTACACCCAGGTACCGCGCGAGTACCATTCTATCGAATCACAAGTCAAACGCTGCTAGAGATTGCCTTAGTGCGCTGTGTCGGGCCAGCAGCGCCTAGGGGCGGGGTGCGCCAGGCGGCTGGCTAGGCCTAGCAGGCCCAAAGGCGAGCCAACTCCACTGCAAGCTGGCGCTCTCATCACCTGGCAGTGGGCACTGGCCCAGCACAGCGCTCCAGGCTCCGCCCCGAGAACCCCCAAACCCCAAAACCAATTCAAATCTCAATCCACAATCAAAATATAAACACTCTTCTCGCCCCATCCTCAACCGCATCCCACCTCAGACACCCGCATCATCCTTTTTTCTGCCACCAACGACTCCGCAACCGCACGCCTCTTCTCCCCTTCCAAGCATCACATCACAGACTATCAGTCACCATGGCCACCGAGGTACGTCAACTCCTGCGTAGCTGCTGTCGCTGCTCCGACCGCCGCTTTCCGCCTTCTCCTCTCCCCCTCGTTCACGCAACCCCTCAGCCCGCCTCTTTGCTGCGAGCTGCGCGGCTTCGGCCACGCGCGGACGAGCCCAGAAACCACATGCAAATTCCATCCTCGTCCGGCCTCGCCCGGCCAAGCCCATCATTTTCTCTGCTCCCTTTCTGACTTTGAACGCAATGCTAACTTCTTACCAGCGTGAAAGGTTTGTCCAACAGCTGGCCCCGTGACCCCACTAACCTCTCATGACGAGAATCCAAACACCTCTCCCCCCCTTTTTTTGCATGCTCGAACGCAACGGGCTGACCGAGCTTTCCAACAAACAGCAAGACCTTCCTGGCCCGCCTCTGCGAGCAGGCCGAGCGCTACGATGAGATGGTTACCTACATGAAGGAGGTCGCTCAGCTGGGCGGTGAGCTCAGCGTCGACGAGCGCAACCTCCTCAGCGTCGCCTACAAGAACGTTGTCGGCACCCGCCGTGCCTCGTGGCGCATCATCTCCTCCATCGAGCAGAAGGAGGAATCCAAGGGCTCTGACAAGCACGTCTCCACCATCAAGGAGTACCGCAGCAAGATCGAGCTCGAGCTCGAGAAGGTTTGCGAGGATGTTCTCGATGTCCTGGACAAGAGCCTCATCCCCAACGCCGCCACCGGCGAGTCCAAGGTCTTCTACCACAAGATGTATGTTTTGATTTTTTTTAATCCATTCCCCTCGTTTGCACTCCGATGCTTGGGTTTCAATTTTTTTTTCGCCCAATCATGTTTCAGCTCGCATATTTCGAAATTTTCAGAAGCTAATGCAAATCGCTCTGACAGGAAGGGTGACTACCACCGCTACCTTGCCGAGTTCGCCTCTGGCGAGAAGCGCAAGGTCGCTGCCACCGCCGCTCACGAGGCCTACAAGGTATGCTGATACATGCGTTTGCCTGCCTGCCTGCCTGCCTGCACCAATAGGGTGGAGAGCCGCAGGTAGATTGGAACTGGTGATACTGACGATGCCCCGCAGAACGCTACCGACGTTGCCCAGACCGAGCTGACTCCCACTCACCCCATCCGCCTGGGTCTCGCCCTGAACTTCTCCGTGTTCTACTACGAGATTCTCAACTCTCCCGACCGTGCTTGCCACCTTGCCAAGCAGGCTTTCGATGATGCCATCGCCGAGCTCGACTCTCTCTCTGAGGAGTCTTACCGCGACAGCACTCTCATCATGCAGCTCCTGCGTGACAACCTGACCCTGTGGACTTCATCCGACAGCGGTGAGGCCGAGCAGGCCGGTGAGGCCAAGAAGGACGAAGGTGAAGCTTCCAAGCCTGCCGAGGAAGAACCCAAGGCTGAGGAGCCTGCTCCCGAGGCTACTTCCTAAATCCTTCTTACCTCAACCGCGCTTAAATCTCGGCATAAGAACCGAGGGAGTTGTTTCTCGTTTTTTTTTTATATCTGAATGCTCTCGCCCTCCTCTACACATGGCGATAGATGGAATCATGTTGGAGGCTGGCCTAGCCGACGCAGCACCGGTACGCAGTGCGTTGCTTCTCTGGTTAATGGGGAGAGTGGTCATGGAACTTCGGATTTTCGGTTTAGGGACAGGAGAGGCGAGTGGCGCAGGGTGCTTGTCCGTCATCACCTGTTGACGGATCCTTTGTTTGGTGTTCGCTGCTAAATGACGGGCACTTCTGTTGCCTCTTTTTTTTCACTCCACCCCCCGTCTACCCAATTTGCCCGGTATCTGTTCCCCTGTTCTGTTTTTTGACATTACCACCTACCTAGTTTACATCTGGTCCCGTTTTTGGCGGATCGCTATGGAAATGTTGTCTCCCCATTGTCGTTGTTTCCTGCACTTTGCTTGTTTTCGTCTTTTCCCCTCGACCCCTCTTCACAGTGGTTTTGTCTCGTATGTTGGACTCGTGTGTGTGCCCCGCAGAGAGAGGAAAAAGGAAACTGTGTATTTGCCCCCCCGCCTTCAAGATTTCTACAGCAGCAACCCCTTGAAAAAATGGCAAAAAGAAATTCCAATCCAAATCCAAGTTGATCCTTGCTTTTGTAGATGTAGATATAGTTGTGATGTCTCTTCGTTCCAACCAATTTTGGTACTCATTACCTACATGCCTTGATAACTACCAGCTTTAGTAACTGTTGCTAGAGGTAATCTCGCAAGAGCTCTGCCAGCTTGGTTTGCTTGCTCAACCTCGGCATGGCTTGATTGATTGGACCTCTCAAACCTCTCAACCTCTCAACCTCTTCTTCCATTACCTAAACCTAGCAGAGTTGCCTTGCACCCTCAACTCACAATTCGTCGCCACAGTTCCAGTTCCAGTTTCCCCCTCCCCCCAGTGCTATCATCCCATGGCTGTCATTCGCACGATATAAAAGCTACTTCATCGCCATAGGAGAACAAGCCGTAAGCATCTGGTAGCCCGTACAGTATCAAAGAAGAATGTACAGTATAAAAAACAAGCCCAACCCCTCTTATAATAGAAGAGAATCAACCCCTCTTTCTTCAAGAGAAGCAGAGGCGCAAAAGCTTAACGGGAACTAGACAGAATTTTTTCACGTCACC